ACAAGTTTTCTGGTATATATTTGAAATGTGTTTTGACCATAATGCATTAGACTGAAATGTTATTCCCAAATGACAATGAGTAGTTACGTTTTCAACTTTTGTATTTTCAAAAATAACGTCTGGATGGATTGTATTTTTCCTAGTAAAAATAATATCTTTAGTTTTATTGGGGTTAAAAGTTATACACCATTGTTTAGCCAATGATGAGATATTATTCAGATCTTCAGTCATAGAGTTCGCGCTACTTAGAGGATCATTATGAATAATGGTAAAAAGTGAAGTATCATCGGCGAATAGCCTTATGTTGTTAGTAATATTATCGGAGATATCATTTAAATAAATTAAAAATAGGAAAGGACCCAGCACACTTCCCTGGGGGACTCCAGAATCAGTATACAAATAGTTTTATTTGAAACCTTCTAAAACTACGCATTGTTGTCTATTACTTAAATAGTGTTCAATCCATTTACATAATATTTCATCAACTCCATATTGTTTTAATTTAGACAATAAGCCTATATGCCAAACTTTGTCAAACGCTTTTGATACATCACAAAATATAAATCGAATTTGCTTTCCTTTATCAAGATTATTAATTATAACATCATAAATTTCTAAAAGTTGGTTTATTGTAGAATCGTTAGGTTGAAAACCAGACTGATACTTATATAACAGGTTATTTTCTTTTATAAAATTATAAAGATTTTTGAATAAGATTTTTTCTAGTATTTTACACAATGAACATGTTAAAGAATTGGTCTATAGTTTTCAGGGAACTGCGGATCACCCTTTCCTTTATACGCTGCAATGATATGTGAAGTCCTCCAGATATCAGGTAATAATTGGAGTTCTAATGAAAGATTAAAAAGTTTAGTGAGAGGGCTTGTGATTGATGGAGTTATCTTTTTCAATACAGCTGGACTGATATTATCGGGACCAGAAGGTTTTGAACAGTTAAGAATTAGTAACTGGTCTTTCACTTCTTGCTCACTTACAATGAAATTTTGTAGTTCGTTGTTACTGCGAGAAGCAAAGTATGGAAGGTCAGGTACATCATTTAATTTTGAAATCGAAGCAAAATAAGAGTTTAGGATGTTTGCCTTATCAAGTTTTCAAATAATAATGGGGAGGTTTGTACCTTTACATTATCATAATTTGTAATAGATTTAGCTATTTTCCACCATTTATTTGGTTGCAAGGTTTTATTATTTATTTGTTGTTCTAATTTCTCTTTAAAACTATTTTTAGCTTCCCTAATTAATGCTATTACTTGATTTCTTATTTTTCTAAATAATAGCCAATGATTAGGACTATTTGTTTTTTTGGCGCGTCTGTGTGCTCTATTTTGTTTTCGAATTTTTATACGTATGGCGTTATTCATAAATGGCTTATCATTTGGTCTTATAGTTACTACTTTTGTTGGGATATATTGTACTAATGCTTTATTTAAAACATCTAAAAAGCTTTGATAAATTTTATTAATATCATCATTTTTAAAAACATTTTTTGACCAATCGACAGTTAATAATTCGTTATTTAAACCTTCATAATCTGCAAGTTTATAATTTCTAATAGTTCTTTTGTATGTTAATTGTTTGTATGTTTTTATATTTAAAGATAAGGTTATTGGTGAATGTGTACTGCATATAGGAGCATTAACATTAGTATCTGATATAAGGGATTTCCTATTGGTAATAAAAAGATCAATGCATGAACCTGGGAGCGTTGTGAAATTAGTCGGTTCTTTTATCAGATTTTCAAGATTTAATCTTTGTAATAGTTTTTTAAATTTAGCACAATTACTTGAATTACTTAAAATGTTGATATTAAAATCCCCCGTTAGGATAAAAGAGGAACCTCTATCTAATGCATTAGATAACGTATCGTAAAATATGTCCCAAAAGGCAACCTTTGTATTTGGGGGTCTATATATTACCCCGAGTAGGAATTTGGTGTAATCAGTAAATATGTCTATAAAAATTAATTCAATATCAGAGTTTATGAGATCATGCCTAATCTGAAAGTGTAGATTATTTTTTATATAAACAACAACCCCACCCCCATGCCTGTTTCTATCTATTCTAACTGGACTTCTATAACCGGGCAGTAAAATCATTGAATCATTAATAGTGTTGTCTAAATGAGATTCAGTAATACATATTATATCATAGTTGGAGAATTTAGCTTCAATTATATCAAGTTTTGGCAATAAACTACATACATTATTGTGGACAATGGAAATGTTCCCTGTATTTAATGTATTAAACGGACCAGGGTTTTGTTCTATGCAACCGACAATTAACAAAGTTTTAATTACCAGCAATAGATGCATATTTATACCATAACACGAGATAGGATGTAAGATCACATATAAGGCATGTTGATCGTTCCGTTTGAGAGGCCAAATAGTATTAGTTTTAATCGTGGCTGTCATTAAGTAATATTTTACGTTCACATGTAAGATCGGAACAATCAGACATATATTTATATATATTTAGGTACGTATGCATAATGAGATATGGCTTCATATTAGAGATTTCTTTAAATATCTAGTTAATACATTTTACACTCCTAGAAGTTAGATACATGGAATAACGAAAATGAGACAAACAAATATACAATATACTACATAACAATAATGAAAACATCAGAACAGTATTTACAATCACAATTACAAACAAATTCATACTTATATCGAGGTATGAGTTTACATCTCCAACAGATAAATTACTTACATTGTACTTAAATTGTATTTCAAGTCTTGGAGTCGAGTAATATTAGTGTATGGGGGGGGGGGCTAATCATATATGCAAGATGCAAGTAGGTAAAGTTCGTTGATAGTGATCTAAATGATCTTTAATATTACATCTACAGTAACAAGGACAATTGGATGAAAGTGTGCTATTCGATCAATATCTCAAAATATTTTCAATGTCAGAGTACTTTTCTATGTAGAATACTGTTGAGTACAAGATTTCTGTATAATTTAATTGATTCTAGTTCGTAAAAAGATATTCAATATACCTATAATAGGTTGTGTCAATAACTACAATATTATCTTTGTATTAGTACAAATAAGGTTGTTGGGTTTTTGTTTTTTTTTGTCTCTAACTTCAATAATTTAAGTTAGTGAACTTTCATCAGGATATATATAGTATTATTTGATATATCATCTTTCATTCAACACTACTTTCATTTTGTTAGTGCTGGGTGATTATTAACTCTTTGTATAATGCTATGTCATTTTGGTAAATCAATCAATATTTTTATATATATAGTAATCAAGTTAGAAACGACTAAAGTTAGGGGTATAATGTAAGCAGCATGCATTTTTGTTATTTGAAATACATTTGGAAGTTCGATGGCGCACATAGCATGTTAACATGTTAGTGTTAGTATTTACTTGTATGATCCTTTATAATCAACCTTATTTAACATTTTCATTCAGTTTTGGATTGGGTGTAGAAGTAAATAAACCTAAATCTAACAAGGACTGTTGTCGTAACAAGGGGCTTGTTTGATTTAATTCAGCTATATTAACGGGTTGAGCTGTGGATACAGATGAAGTTGATCTAGCTGTTTGTTGGTTTAACATGGCTGATGCACTATTCAATGTCAGGTGATCGGGCTGATCAGTGTTCATTTGCTGTTCAACAATTGGCGTATCATAAAACTGATTGATGTCATTTTCACAATTGATTAATATATTTTTGTCATCATTTAGATTTCTGACAAATATTCGACCGTCATATGTCCAGCAGTTTTTAATTTTATTCAGTTTGAAGAGTTCGCGTGTCTTTTTATACAGCTGAGATTTTCTATGTGTCAAGGCTTCATTAATAAAGATTTTTGTTTTATTTGCTACTTAAAGGAGCTAAATCGCTAATATTTGGGTCGCAACGCATATAATAATGTAATATGGATGTATATAAACTGATTTACATTCAATCGTTCCTGTTTTTACAGTAATTTCTAATCAGTTTCATGTGAATGGCAGTCTTTAGCTTCTGGTTTTTCCAGTCTACACCGATGGTATTTATTGCGCATGCTCTCCAGATAAGAATATAGCGTTGCCATTTGACGTGACTTGTGGAATATGTCTAGCCCTGTTCTTTGAGTCCCTTGTTCCAAATGGCGCTGAATCGCATTATGGTACACGATTCGTGTACCAATGGTAAAATGTTTATTTTGTCTTGAATATTGGATATCAGAAGCCCATCTTTTCCCTGTAAGATCACAAGACCAATGTTGATTTGAATTGACAAATAATTCGTGTCTATATTGTTATCAGCTATAAATATGGGCTGTAGGTGTATACCAAGGTCATTCTTATCTGCAATTTCAACCTATATAGATGTGTACTAATTAAAGGTAAGTGTTCAAACTCCGAAAGAAAAGATGAGAAAATTTTGTACACTAAGGGATATAATATTAGGATTGATTGATTATCATAATAGTGAAATTTTTTGTACACATGCAAGATTTCGCTTCGGCGGTGCTACTGCACTTCCGTATATATAGTATTTCCAGTGAAATTTGAACGCGATACTCACGGTGACTGGGTATGACTGCTAACCAAATTTCAGACGAATCGGCCAATAACGTTTTATTTTACACACATTTAACTTACAACAATATCTCGTAAAATAGAACTTTTGTGCGGCCATCTTGTTTACTATTTATACACTCAAACGATTTTCTGAACACCAACAAGTTTCCACCCGACCACTGGTCAAAAATAATTTTCGCCGGGGTCGTTGATTTAGTCTGTCCATCAGTATTCCGACGTTCCTAGTAATCAAAGTAAATTCTTTAACTTAGCATTCATACCAGGTGAAATTTGGGAAGGCGTCTAAAGTTTAGGTTTGATTATTTCATTATTTTAATTAAAATGAATATTCCCTTTTTCAGATATTAAAAAATGGCGTATCTTCATTACGTGACATTCCTTGTAGTTTTGATTGGTGCCGTCATTTGTGACATTCAGGATGATATGGCCACATTAGTAAAGCTATTCCCTGGAAAATATGACAACATTGCACAGTACAATTACGATATAGAGCATACACCAATCGCAAAGCGACATCTGCATCTCATTACCACTGCAACACCGGAGCAGGTGCCAGTTCTCATTGGTTATCAAAGTTTTTATGTAGAACAGTACCTCAATGGAAACACCAGTGATGTTATCCGGCAGAGAATCTACTCTTACGGAATTGACGCAAAAACAAATGAAGTTGTACTGAAGCTATATTCATTTAAAGACCCTTCCAAATTTCTTCACGCTCCTCCTAATTCCCCGATGTTTACAGCTCTTACCATGGGGGATATAATATATGCTGAAGGATGTGACGTATACTGGACCAGGCTTGCGGATAATTACTTCCGGTCTCACATGTTTAATACGTGCATTGTAAACATAGGTGGCACTGAGGTAGGATAAACATGTAGCTTATGCCACGCCATCACGGCTAATTCTATTTGTTAAGCTCAGCTCAATTTTTGTCAAGGTCGCTGAGATGTAAATAAGGCCAGGGCACGAGATTGTTGGCGAGATTGTAGGCTAGCGTAAGCATTGGGGCTAGGTCCAGGGTTAGAGTTAGCGTTGGGATTAGCGCTAGCCCTGTTTACATCTCGTGACCAATGACGAAAATTTGAGCTGGCCTTATTATTTAGCACTAACCCGCCATCACCCGATTTAAAGGAGAAGACCAATGTTTCCCAACAAAGTTTCTATAAATGTTAAATTTATATTCAGAAATAATCCCATGTATATAACAAGCAAAACCATTTTTTTTGTAAGCGCAAAATTAACACTTATAAAAACGATGAAATTGGCTCTCAACATGCTCGCTGCTCTCTATAGTAAGCACACAGATTTGCCGCATGTTTAGTGCTCTATTTTGTTCACGCATCGTGGTTTGGCCGACGATCTGATCAAAGGGGAAATTAATTAGGATATCATAAACATAAACTTATGATTTTTAATGTTTAATGCACACCTAACCGAGGCTCAGTGATGTTCAGTCAATGTGACCCGATGCTGCCTTAATATATGTCTTGTAACTAAATATAACGAATATTAAACATTGAATACTGGTTCGAGTAGGCGTTTCAAAAATATAAAGTTCATTTCAGCCTGATGGGTAATGACGGAGAAATTTATTTCATCAAAACTTACATTGTCGGAATTCAGTATCGGAAAGAAGTAAAAGCCAATGTCACTGATAATTACTTAATGGGGTGTTAATGTTGCCCGACAACCTATCTTTCAGTGTTTCTTTGCCTGGCAAACTACTTCACAATTATTTTATTTCAGGTTTTGATTATTGATCGTAATAATCTAACAGACGCCTATCTTACAGCCGACGAAACTTGGATTTTCTACAAGAATCAGTCAGTTCTGAAAGTTTATCCATCTCCATATAATATGACAAAATTTCCACTCAAATATCAGGAATCTAACGTGTAAGCATTTAATGATTTTTTAGATATTTTCTCTCATTAAATCTCAAAACAATCATACAAAACTACGGAAGCGTATAGGGGTCATGCAAAATTGTGTGGAAGGTGTCGAGATCCTGCGATACTGTGATACTTTCTCGAAATCCCGTGATCACCTGGTAATTCTCGCGAGATCACAATTTAATGTTCTTGAAATCTCCTGATAATTTTCTTGGGATATTGACATCCTGTGTAAATGTTCTCGAGAATTCGAGTTTATGTTCTCGAGATATTGACATTCGGTGTGAATTTTCTCGAGATCTCGAGTTAATATGAAACGTTATATGATAGTGTCCCCACGTTGTGAAGCAACTATTGGCCCAATACTTAGCACCAACTTTGATCAAAAAAAAATACTCTAGCATTTGTTACAAAGGAAAACTGCTAACTAATGAAAGAATACGCGGACAATCGATAGGGTTCGTCCATTCTCCTAATGCTTTACACTAAATTTGAAAAATGATTAAAATCGATAGGGTTCATCGTTTTATGGCCCCAATGCTTCATGCCGTATATGAAAATCAAAACCTTACTGCTTTAGCTTTGAATGTTTGAAGCTTTGAATTACAGACGTGCTTGTTAAATTATTTCAATCTAATGTGTGGGCAACGTTTTATTGAAAATGTCATAATTTGAATGGTTTCCAGGCCATATTTCTTCTAGAATAAAGCTATAAGTACATGGTTTATTGTTTTGTGGCCCAAATGGTTCGCGGTGGATTTTAAAACAAAAATCTTGAAAACCTCTCGAGTTCACCAGACAGAAAAATATGAAAAACGCCATAACGAATAAGGTTCTTTCTCTAGTTGCAACAATCCCTCCGAAAATCTATCCGGTCACAAGGATTAATCCCACGGAACACCGAAAATAAATAGGGTCCCTCTACTCATAATACCAATGCTTCAAAAGAAATTGGAAAGATAGCCACGCAGTGTGTGGAAAGACGCTCATGCAGCATCTATGTCTCAACAGCAGATTATCGGAAAGGAAAACTTGGATTTTGAATAAATTGAATAAGGATCTAGCATCCTTCGAGAAATCTAATCTTTATCTGTTCACGTTTTTTTATATCTCTGTGACAGCAAACCTTATATTTTTAAAATTCAACAGGAGTCATCCTTGTCGCGGAACACTGAATATCGAAATTACGTTAAAAACGCAATTCTCTACCGCGTTAACAAGGCTTTCAATAGAGTTCAAGACCCCAATGCTTCACACTTATCGTTCTGGGGTTATCCCCCTATCCGAAAAACTTGTTAAGGCAATAGAGGCTACAGTTTTTAACTGATTTTGTTTTTCAAATGTGGTGTGAAGCATTCTGTGACCTTGTCTTCCTTAATATACCCCCGCCCCTCGAAAGCCTTGTTCTCGCCATAGAGGCTTCACTTTTAAAATTTTGTGTGAAGCTTTGGGGTCATGAACTTTATTGATATTCAATTTTCAGCTATATAAGTTTTTCTTTCCCAGAGATATAACAAGCACCTGAACACGACAGAGATTAGATTTCTTGAAGAATGCTAGATCCTTATTCAATTTATTAAACATCCAAGTTTTCCTTTCGAATAATCTGCTGTTGAGGCATAGATGCTTCGTAGGCGTATCTGCACACTTTGTGTTGCTATCATTTGAATCATTAGTGTCATAAGCAGAGGAACCTTATTTATTTTTGTTATGGCGTTATTCCTATCTTCCGGTAACCCTTGTGAACGCGTTAGAGCCCAGAGTTTTTCAAGATTTTGGATTTAAAATCTGCTCCGAAGCATTTGTACCACAAGACAATAAACTCTGTGTCTAGCTTTATTCTAAAATATGGTCTGAAAACCATGCAAAAAATGACATTTTCTATTAAAACTCGCCCAAACATTAAATTGAAATAATTTAACAAGCATGTCTGTAATTCAAAGCTTCACATATTAAAGATAACATGGTAGGGGGTTGAATTTCATATTTGGTATGAAGTATTTGAGCCATAAGACGGTGAACCCTATCGATTTTAATCTTACGACGTATTTCAAATTTAGTGTAAATCATGGGTACCCTATCGATTGTCCGATTATTCTTTCATTAGTTAGCAGTTTTCCTTTGAAATGTTAGAGTTTTTTTTGTATCAAATTTGGTGCAAAGTATTGGGCCAATGGTTGCATCACAACGTGGAGGCACTATCATATAAGGTTTCATTTTAACTCGGGATCTCGAGAAAATTTACACAGGATGTCAATATCTCGAGAAAATTTACACAGGATGTCAATATCTCAGGAAAATTATCAGGGGATTTCGAGAACATTAAATTGAGATCTCGAGAAAATTACCAGGTGATCACGGGATTTCGAGAAAGTATCACAGGATCGCAGGATCTCGAGACCTTCTACAAATTTTTGCATGACCCCCTATACGCTTCCGAACGTAAATTCACGATTTGGTTTAAAAACTGGCGCCCCATTACACTTATAACTGTAGACGTAAAATTAGCAAGTGGATTTTAAAACCATTCCTTTAGTATTTAATATATCAAAATCAAACTGCCTTTATACCTAAACGCCGTATATACTCTTCAAAAAAAAAAGTAGGGGATATTCAGAAACAATACAAAACTGCGGAAATTCACTTTTATTAGAGGTAACCAGTGTATGTTAATAACAGGCCAATTGCCTACACATGAACATAAACAGTTCATATGGGCGGCTTATCTGACGGCCCCATTTCTCTCGCACAGAGATACACTGTCAAAAGTGAAAATGGACGTTTTTGTTTTTTTGTCTTAATAATGAGTAATTGCTCCACCAATCCTCAGGCATTCAGCTATTCGTCGTGGCATGCTCCTAATCAACCGTCCAATCACGATTTGGGACAATCTGACCCACTCCTCTTACATTGCCACGGCCAATTCTTGCAGTCATGGTGATTCCTCCCTACACCATAACAGACCCAAGCCCGAATCTGTCATGCTGTCTGACGTTAACGTTAGCAAGACGCTCATTTACACGCCTCCAAACACGAGCACGCCTATCGGTGAAATCCAGAGTAAATCTGGGCTCATCTAAGAACATTACACTCGACCATCGACGATTACCATAATTTCTACGCTGCCTACACCATTGACGCCTGATTGCCATGTGCTGGCGAGTTAATGAAGGCACAACACAATTTCTAATCGTCTGGGGTGTAACTCGAATTCCTGTAACTTGGTACAGGTTTACAGAAAGCTGATTGGCCGTTTGTCCTCGATTTCGCAGGACCTGTGTACGAATGCATCGATCCTGGGCGTGTGTAGTGGCTCTAGGACGACTTGAACGAAGTCTATCATCAACATTGTGTGTTTGTTGGTACCGGTTCCACAGTCTGCTGTTCACAGACTGTGACACATTAAGCATGTTGGCTACTGCTCGCTGTGTAGAACCCATTTGAAGCATACCAACAGCACGTAGACGTTCATCATGTTGAAGACGTCTCATTGCAAATTAAACGTAACACACTAAAGCAAAGATACGCTAAGCAGTAAACATGGATAGGATAAACCAGGACTCGGCAGTTTTCATCAACCCTTCCTTGAAATGTCAAAATAGACAATGAACCCCTCCCACGCGTATGGCGCTATTGCGTGTCGCGCCTGCAGCTCAATGGTTCTGTTGGGGCGATAAGTTCTTCATCTGTGGACATACTCTCAAAGCATCTCTTTTTGAAGAGTATACAAGAAAAAACTCGTATTATTGATGACCGTTTTTATCTTGCAAAAATTAAAACAATTACTAGTTTTTATACGCCCATATTTTCATGTGGACGTACATTGTCGTCGCCCCTGTCCGTCCGTCCGTCCACAATTGTTTGTAAACACTCTACAGGTCACAATTCTTATCCGATTTTGACGAAACTTGAAGTATAGGTTTTTCTCCAAAAGATCTCGGTTGCTTCGATATTGGCATGCATCGGATCGAAACCTCATGGGCTATGGCCACTGATTGTACGAAAAATCACGTTTTTAGCTTGTGGACCCTATAGAGGTCCCAATTTTAAACCGATTTTAATGCTTATTTATAACCCAAAGATCTTGGATCCTTTCGATATTTGCGCATATCGGATCGTAACTTCCTGAATTATGGCCCCTGATTGTACGAAAAATCGCCCCTTTTAGCTTATGGTCACTCTGGAGGTCACAATTATTATTCAATTAAAAGAAACGTTTGATTATATCACCGTTACCCCGTAATGAAGTTTGAGTTCGAATTTCGTAAAAATCGGACCAAAATTGCAGGACAAAATGGCCGCTGCTTGTACGCGAATAGTGTAAAAATATGGTATATCAAGGTTGTGGGACCTATAGAGGTCACAATTTTAATCCGATTTGGATGAAACTTTTAATATATGTTTTTATCATAAAGATCTTGGTTCCGTTTGATTATTCCACATATCCGAACGTAACTTCCTGGATTATGGCCCCTGATTGGTCGAAAAATCTCATTTTTAGCTTGTGTATTCTCTAGAGGTCACAATTTTTTTTCCGATTTTAAAGACCGTTTAGATATATCACCATTCCACCATAATGAAGGTTGAATTGGAATTTCGGAAAAAATCGAAATGAAACTGCCCGACAACAGGGCCTCTCTTTGTACGCAAATTGTGTATAAGTATGTAATACAAAGGTTATGGACCCACTAGAGGTCACAATTTTTATTCAATTTTGATGAAACTTAAACCATATCTTTATATTCCAAAAATCTCAGTCCCTTTTGATATTTGCGCATTTCAGACCATAACTTTCTGGATTATGGCCCCTGATTGTACAAAAAATCGTTTTTGTATTTAGCTTGTTCTCTATCCATCTCTTGCAAAATGTAGGCGTATCCTGGCTGGCAGCCGCTGGTCTTTAATCCATTGATTTTCAAAAAGCTTTTGATAAATAATTGGTTTACAAGTGGCTAAAAAAGGTAGGAACAACATCTCCACGGCATTATTGGCGATATCACTACGCTGGAAACAGACTTTGAATAAAGCTATTACACACACACACACACCCACACACACACACACACACTATGCCACTACTAACCTGTTTCTGTTTTTTAGGATACCACAAAAACATATTGGCGATACTGTGAAAGGACAACTGCTCGATTTCAATTCATTAGTTACAGCTCTAACTACAGGACATGCGGTGCGGTATTTTATCTCTCCTGGCCAATGTCAAGTCAGTTCACCAAGTGGTAAAATGATGGTTCAAGGTGGCTATATAGAAGATTTTGAATACTTTTTTGATCCCTTGTTTGGACCTCAGCATTATTTTGGTTTCTCCACATCAAACGTGGCATTAAATAAGTCTGGTAATTATGATTGTGTATTTTAAGCTGTGTGATCTTGTGATGGTTTTTGTGGGTGCTGTCCTGGGCACCGGATGTGAAAGCGTTGTGAATTAATATGGAAGGAACCTCAGCTACATGAGACATTTTGAAAACCACAGGATAGAAAAATTGAATTAAACAACCACCGACCACAGACTAGATCCTTGCGGATATCGCATAGCGTTAAAGGACAATATTGGTGTCGGTCATTATCACATATGGAATAGAACTGGTTTAACACGTTCCAAATATAATTTTAAAAAAGGATCATTGCTACGATAGATGCGTAATCAAGGTTTCAACAAACGGAAATCACGAACGCAAAAGGAAAACACGAGTTATCCTTCTATATAACTGGCTGAATTGACGAGTGATAACACATACACGGGCGAATTTCTGCTCACTAATAATTTCTTCGAAGACCAAAAGTCGTTATATGAGACTGTAGGGAATGTCTGACAGTTCAAAATAGAAATTGACTGTCACAAGAAAAGAGAAAACGAAAAAATATAGAAAAAGTCCGTGCATTACCATGTTTTTATTAAGTATAGAATAAATAAAACAAGTGAATGTACGGACTATTTCTATTTTTCTCGTGTTCTCTTATCTAATGACATCCAATTACTTTATTGAATTGTCAGATATCCTCTTACAGTCTCGCGTAACAACTTTCGTCTTCGAGGGAATTGTCAGTGAGCAGAAATTCGCCCGTGTATCTGTTATCACTCGTCACTTCAGCCATTTATATAGAAGGATAACTCGTGTTTTCCTTCTGTGTTCGTCACTTCCCTTTGTAGAAGCAATGATCTCTGTATTAAAATTATATTTGGAACCTGTTTAACGAGTTCTATCACATATCTGATGACTGACACCAATGATGTCCTTTAAGTCCATAATTCTACTGCTTGCAGGGGTCTATAGCTAGGGTGCATGATTCAATCACAGACCAGAACTCCATGTCTACCAATAGATATAATCAACAAATTATAAGCATTTAGTGTCACACTTTGTAATACTGATTTACTAATGTAAATATATTTATCATTTGATCATGCAGGCGAATTGGTAATGGTGTTAAAGGAGGGTTTTGTATATGAAAAAGATGGAGTCCACATGAGAATCACGACTTTGACATCTGACCTGTCTATTGTTCTGGATATTGTCACCATCAACTGTAGCTTTTCAGCATCTGGGTAATATTACATAATAAAACATACATTATGCAAGAGCTAAATCTGCCAATTGCAGGTCTTTCTTTAGGCCTGAAATGTTATCTAAATTATTAATGAGACATTAATTAAAGTAGCTAAGTCTCTAACTTAATATCATCCAAAATCTTCGACATTGTCAATTTAAATCAACATTGATGTTGTGATCTTACCGGGAAAAGATGGGCTTCTGATATTTAACACAAAATAAACATTTTACCACTGGTACACGAATCGTGTACCATAATGCGTTTCAGGCCCATTCTTACAAGGGGCTCGAAGAACGAGGCTAGACATTCAACAAGCCATGTCAAACGGTGACGGCATAGTCATATCGGGAGAGTATGTGCAATAAATACTATGTAGACTAGAATAAGCAGACGCTAGAAATTTTGATTCGATTGAGACTTCAGACATATTTCACCGAACGTAAATGATTTGAAATTAGAGTAAAAATGGAAACGATTGAATGTAAATCAGTTTATATATATTCCTATTACATTATTATATGCGTTACGACCCATTTGTGTCAATTCTAGGTACCAAACATTAGCGATTTAGCTCCTTTAACTTATCCAGACCATAATAACTTTCGATGGCACCGCTAGCCTGTGATAATCGAGACTATGTTTTTTATCGTACCGATCGAGGCTAGGCCCAAAATTCAATCGCTAAATACTCGGTTCAGGGTGGACCAATTTGACTGAAATGAAATTTTTAGCAAATTCCCTTTACATTATCTAGTTTTTAACTATTATAGTGAGAACTGCCAGCTCTTTATCTAATCTCCCATAATGTATCTTTAAAATTAGATATTACAATTCAGATGTATGCTAGCCGTGTAGTATGGCTCACCAATTTGTATCAGTTAAAGATGCATTATGTAAGGTTTAGATAAAAAAGCTTGCGTTCTTGCAATAATCGTTTACAAATACGTAATGACAAATGTATATATTGACACTTTCAATCACTTTATTCTGAGCGGAGATATCGGTGTTTGAAGTTTTGACAAGAAATAGTCTCAAGTGCCAAGTACCATTGACACAATAATAAAAGAAGTCTCAATTTTCAGTCCCTGAATCGCAGTGAATGGCGTCCATATTAACGTTTAACGAAGATATGGCCAACAGTGCCTAATCCATTCAGTATCGTAGAAATCCGATGATCTAGAGAGTTGAGTATGGGCTGGACAAAATAATAATTTATAGAACATTTGAAGCCAGAAAACAAAAACATGCAATAGGCATTTGTTTCTCTTAAAGGAGAATTCTATAATAAAAGTTTAATTTTATCATTTACTTAGGTCATTGTGTAACGCATTTCAGAATTATTATTTATCTATTTATTTTTTTAAGTTTTATTACCAAATAACGTTAAAAAAAACCAAAAAAAAAACCACTTTCGGATTACCGCGATTACGGAAACACCCGATAATTAATGAGCTGAAGCTAAATCACGTGATATGACGTAAGAGGCGACACTCGTAGCAGTCCAGGTATTTATATTTCAATATGGCATCGGCAGAAAGTGACCGCTTGTCAGACATTGATTTCGCCCCGAATGTTCTTCCATATCAGTGCGAGCCAATTAGAAATGCGAGCAACAACGGTGACGATGATGGTTCGGAACATTCTACCATTTCTAGCGAAGAAGAACAATCGCTGCAGGCTGTGTTCTGGTTAGGTCAAAGTACCTTGTCTTATCACAGTCCTTCAATTCTTCATAACTTTTCGCTTCATTTATTGATGTTCACGCTTCATCGGCGAAAATATATCAGAGAAAAACTATTAATTCCAACAAGTTTTCCCTCGCCATTGGGTAATACGGTAATATATGCCCTAGCCCACTTTCTTTGTGCAACAATTGAAAAACGAGGGTCACGTCGTATAGCAATATTAGCATTTGCTACCTATCGCTGAAATTGTTTTCTATCACACTCATTTACCTAGTTAAATCTGACAGACTTCAAACATCTAGGACTATCTATGATCGACTGCAAAATCATCGACATAGGCCTACACCTACTACTGACGCGGAAGACCCTTCGAAACGGGAATATTAATTTACATTAGTAATTAGGCTACCTAGCTGTGTTGTTTACATTTCGTTGCTATGGTTACATCAGTCATTTCACCATAGAACTATGCACAGTTTTAACATAGAAAGAGAGAGAGGGGGGGGGGAGAAATGGGGTTTAACGTCCACTCGACACAAACTAGGTCATTTCGGGACTTACACATGGTTCCATTTTATTTCAATAAATCGCTTGCGCGTAGGGGTCTTTAGCAGTGGGAGGAAACCGGAGGACCCGGAGAAAACCCACGAGGATGGACAGGCGATCCTACTCTTTGTCTAGTACAACCGGGGAATCGAAACCCCGCCAGTTGACTCAATGACAGACAGTATGATACAGCAGCACGCACGTGCTTACCTAGATAACAAATCTTACCTATCAACCCTCCGTGTTTCGAGATAAGAAATGATGCCATTAACTCCAATGTAGCACATGCGGGGGCGATTCGCACCCGGCATTTGTAAACAAAATTGACAATATTTTTAATCAAAACAACGATTTATTATTGTTATCTATATATATATTTGTGACTGTCGTTTATCTGTCTGTCTGTCTGTTCGGGGTTGGCGGCTACACTAGGTCTGCCCCGAGTCTGAAATTTGGGGTATAGAGGTAGCTCGGACCGGGGAGTAACATGGGCCAGGTGGCGTTAGTCTACCACTTCCGGTTTCGGAGTTATGACCCCCGAGCGAAGCCGGTCTGGTCGGGGTTCGTGGCTACATTAGGTCTGCCCCGAGTCTGAAATTTGGGGTATAGGGGTAGCTCGGACAGGGGAGTAACATAGGCCAGGTGGCGTTAGTCTACCACTTCCGGTTTCGGAGTTATGACCCCGAGCGAAGCCGGGTATCCTGCTAGTTTATAATATTTCTGCCACATCCAACTACAATTTAGCATATAATCCTACCTGAAACGGGTACAAATCGTCATTTTTAAAATCGAGGCGTTAAGCCGTTACTAAGACCGCCATCTTTTTAAACGATACGCTGTCATCATGAAGGCGGGGCTAAATATAAGGCTTTTATAACAGCCAATCAAAAGGGCAATCTAAAGCATTTTAACTATGAATGGATTTCGATGGCGGTGAAAGTCAGACAAAAACAGCGCTTCATTAATTCAAACGCGAATATTTAGGCGACAGTTGTGCCACTACATTGGCCTCTGTAAGTTTAATTAATCATAATAGCATAACCTCATCTTATTTTAAAGATGTAATATGCATTAATAAAGAAATTGAGTTTGCCACTTGGAACTAAAGGCATCCAATCGTAGCTAAAAACAAACACATCAGTATATCTTAACGTTTTTAGCTACGTTCTCGTAGCTAGTGCTTACCATTCGGCCATGCACCCCCCCCCCCCCTCTTTAACATAGAAATATAACATAACTGCTATATCTTGATCGGCATAATAATATTATTAAAATCACGTTCGTAAGCAGATAACTCGAATGCTCCGAACAATGAGAATGAGGAGCGTTTTTTGATGGAGACCAGCCCTTCTCGCCTCTTAGATATCGCTTTGGTCAGACCTTTCTACGTGTTGCCTCGCTTGGAAATTTTTTAAAAAAAATGACACGTGCTTCCTGATTTATTCTTTTTGTCATTAGTACATCCCCAAGCAATTGAACATGTTAATGCTTCCAGTTAGTCAAAATTCAAAATGACAGGATGCAGATATGCATAAATGTCAATTCGGGTTTGTTTTTGTTTTTTTTGGTATATTTTTCCTTTGTAAAAATATTCAGAATGACTTTTAAAACTTTGCAGGGATAAAATTATTTTAATATTAACGTTATTTTTCATATTAAAACAGGTTTTTGCAATAATATTCCCCTTTAAATAATGCATACTTAAAAAGGTTTGGAAGTAATATAAGTAGGACATGACATGACACTCCTCTCTTATAATAGAATCTAAACTCAGCTTTTAATAATGAAATGGCCCCCTGAAAAATTATCATGGTCTTGGTAATCTGAGACGGGTTTCCAATACTTAGTGTGCGTAAACTAAACAATGGACCATATAATTTACATTCTATAACCATTAACTGATTTCATGTTACAGGTCTAGTGTACAGTTTTATACTAGTTTTAAACAAATAACACATATTTCATCAACCTATGATCTCTACACAGCCTTAAAACAAGGTGCCAGTGTTCGATTTACTGCTGATTATAGAGGATGTACTGGTATATCAGCTGGAGCAATATCAGGTGGAGTTATCCAAGGTAATATTGTTGTGCTTGTATCCAATTCTTTTGTAGGTAACATTTGAGGTATTTAGTATAACTTACATGAAAATGAGATGTATACATTATTACTATTTTCTTGTACTTTTAAGCCTAAGATCTAGAGTCAAATATGTGTAGGTCATCCGTGTCTTGCCTTGGGACCAGAAACTGTTCCCCAAGCACTTCTCATCTTGTTGTTCTTTTTAGAGGCGACGCTTTTCAAAACATCCCAAGCTCCGCCATTTCAAGTACGATCGACTTGAAAATGACATACGTGTCCTTGGATTGACATCACAATTCCAAGGTGACGGAGATGACGTTATTCTCGATGTCTGGTCCATATAGTGCTGTTGTTTAAAGTTTGATCGTGGCGGGTTGAAGTATATTACAGCTCCATTAAAGCCCCAAAACCCTAGTGATATGCACCTACGGAATCTGCAGCGAAAGGTAGAACCCCGACCAACTAGTCGTACATCTTTCTTCAGATTAATTAAAGGCGTATTTACCGCATATTGTTTCAGATTATGACTATGTCCAAGCAACACAGGAAGTAAGGGTTACCCAATCAAAACTGATAACCAATTATCAAGGAGCAGGATTTGTAACAGATATTGTGATTGGCCAGTTTTTTGGTAACAACAGCGTCACATTCTATGCGTCTGATGTCACAGTGACAACACATCAGCCTGTTTATAAAGAGAACATTTACTGTTCTTTGTCTGGGAGCAACCCAAATGGGACCGTTGATTTATATCATATTCCATAAGCATTGATTTGGTGGATAAATTTTATATTGAATAAATATTAGTTCAATATATATCCTTTCTATCAGAACCCTATTCACTCATAAAATATTTCTACTCAGACATGTACCCAGATATCACAAGGAATATGTGAGTTCATGTTCCGTGTAACGATTTGAAAAATGTTTCTTTTGACCATAGAAACCTTTGCCTCTTTCAGCCAGACCTTTATTCCGTACACGCATAATTTCAAAGATTCAAAGACAATAGTCTTACTGCACTTTAATCTTAATCTCAAGGTAACAAGTGACAGACCAAACAATGACCTTCAAGTATCTCATCATTTTATGGTTACTTAAAACTAATATATATTTTGTTTTAGAGTCATGCTGAATAATTTACCAGTTATTTTACAATATATTGTAGAAAAACTATTTGGACTGATTACAATTTTAAAAAAATTACATAAAAAGAAAATACAGTTAATTAACTATAGTTTTGATTCATTTTTCAAGTCATACAGTGAAAATGTCAGTTTTTGTCACCACTGCCCATCACTATAAAATTTGCCTTGATGTTATAATTGCTAGAAATAATAATTCATAAACAAATATCTATTAATGAATCAAGGATTAGTTTGATTTTGTAGGTACTTCATGGCAGAAAAATAAGGTTTTCTTTTTAATTTCCATGAAAAACATTTTTTTTTATTTATACATGTATAGTCATAAAGTAATGGGTAATGGTAATTAATTACTTTCAATGTAATGGGTAATGGTAATTAATTACATTGCTAAAAATGAGAAAGTAATTGTAATGATTACATTTAAAAAGTAATGGTAATGGTAATGTAATTAATTACATTGGCAATGTAATGGCCCCAGCCCTGCAAGATTTAACAATTTGGGCGATCGGTAGTTGAACAGGCACTGAAACATCATTTGAAGTATTGATACCATATAAATTAGTGCTAGTTTGTCCATGGACCTTATATCCATGGTTTGTCCTTTTTTATGCTATGTTTTAATATCACACTTTGGTGTATGAAGTAAGTATTGAGATGTAACGGATTTTATGTTTAAATATCGTACATAAACATATTGAAGCTTAAAATTTGGAAATGAAAAATTTATCGTATGGATTTGGTCTTATCACTAATGGAAATAACCTACTATATTATCCCAATTCAACATACTATTTTGGCTTAAAACAAATATGTTTAACCTCGAGAGAAAATAGAAATTACCTATCTGTTATAGTATATTATAATCTGATGGTCTTTCAAGTTGACTGTAATGATACTAACAAAGTTAAACATATTTATAGCATCTTTGAAACAGGATTTAACAATTGGAATGATAGGGAACTGAATAGGGGTTAAAACATCATTATTTTATGTGTTGATAAATTAATTATAAAGAACGGTTCCAATATCATATTACTATAATAACACATATCTAAACACAAATGTTTCCTCTCACTGCTAAAGACCCCTAAGCACAAGCGAATTATTGAAATAAAATTAAACCATATGTTAGTCCCGAAATGACCTAGTTTGTGTCGAGTGGACGTTAAACCCCACCTCTCTCTCTCTCTCTCTCTCAACACAAATAATATCTAAATTTGACGTCCTTGATGTCCACATTCCGCCAAATACGGCACAAATCTATAACACATACTTATGGAAGAACAATTACTGATTTATTTGGGCGACGTTTCGAAGAGTATTCTCTCAACGTTTTCAAGCAAGTACAGAAACAAGTGTGTAGAGCAATTATATATAGACAAGCAATAACAACAATTCAGAAACCATGCATGACAACAACAAGATCAAAGGATTAAAAAACAACATGATCACACAATTTGTACATTGAAAGGCATGTTTAAGAGTGATATATACAGAGGAGAAATGGGGTTTAGAGTCCACTCGACGCAAACTAGGTCATTTCGGGACTAACATATGGTTTAATTTTATTTCAATAATTCTCTTGCGCGTAGGGGTCTTTACCTGTGGGAGGAAACCGGGGGATCCGGGGAAAACTCGGGGAATCGAAAGCACGCCACTTGACTCAGTGACATGGATTTAACGTTCTATTTTCTTTGGGTTTTGGATGGCCGAATGGTTAGCACGTGCGCGCTGTATCATGAGGTCTGCCATCGAGTCAACTAGCGTGGTTTCGTTTCCCCGGTTGTACGTGACAAGGAGTAGTGTCGACTGTCAAGCGAATTATTGAAATAAAATTGAACCATGTGTTAGTCCCGAAAGGACCTAGTTTGTGTCGAGTGGACGTTACCCCACGCCCCTCTCTCTCTCTCTCTCTCTCTCCGTCTCTCTCTATTTTCTTTACTCTTTACCGGGCTAAAGAAGACGAACATGTGTCATACAGTGTGGTAGGAGAGATATTTTCCCCGGATAGCAGCTGAATACTGTCAGTGATTCTTTTACGTGCACGCCGAAATGTACACGGGACCTCCGATTTTCTCTCCGTCGAACAACTACACATGGTCCTTGCGATAAGGGTCGTAGAACGAAAAACATTTCATCTGATTATATCCGAAAATTCAACGAAATTTAAAATTACTGGCCGTGTATTCATTCTATTTTATTGACAAATAGGTTCTGATTAAATATTATAGGTCGAAATGCAGTCGTCCGGAAACAACACTGACCTCGCACCACCCATGTAGCAGAAATAACCGTCTGATTTTCCCAGAATATTATGCTAACGAGGCGCTAAACTCCTTTGCTTTCAGTCCTTATAGTAAAGAATAAAATAACGTAGTTAAATAGAAGACGAACATAATTTATTACTGTCATTACAGTCCATCCTGTTTAAAAATATATGCACCGTGTGAAAACAAGTGGGATTGACTGTGGTCCCTGCTTAATAGAACGGCTATATTATAGAGTCAATCCTACCTAATTGGGTAGCATTAGGATTGGGTGGACTGGGATATTGTGAAATCGTCAATCGCATTTGAAGGATATTTTCAGTGATTTAACTCATTGTTATTGAAGTAATCAATTACTTATTAGTTATATTTAAAGCACGGCTTTCATTTCGGGAGTCAACAGAAACATAAATTTATACACAAGTTTTCAATTTTGAATTATCCGGAAGAATTAATGACACACGTCCTGATCAGTTATACACGGATATATGTTACATGCTTAATTACTAATTTGAACTGAGATAGCAAAACACCTTTAATCCAGATTTATAAATGAAATGGGATTTAGCATCCTACTTTTCGAGGCTAATGATGACTTACGCCATACAGTGTTCTATTAAGGGAAATTTTGCCGGGACATGGCGCTACGGCCTACAGCTATTCTGAATTCCAACTGTCAGGGTTTCTTTTACGCGCATACCAATGTGTACACAACCTCTTTTTTCAGACCACCCATACGCCTAGACACTGACAGGGGCCTAGGCACTGACAAGGCAGTACTGCACCACTGACAAGGCGAATCCGTGCCGGAAATCTGGAACTTTATCAGCCAACACTTGGACGAACTCGAGATCTCCTGGTTAGCAAGCTAGTGTTATATTCACTGAGTCACTGCGGCTGCGGTTCCCGTATTTTTATACTAAACCTTCTGCACTATATATCATTGAATTAACTGTAAATGTCGAACAGAGAAAGAACACACCTATGATATATACTTGTATTATAACTTTATTTAATGTATAATATGAACAGATTGAGCATAATAAAGAATACATCAATACAAACCTAATAGGTATACTAAACACACCAAACAAAACAGTACACATAATGAACTAAATATACTAACAAAACAAAAACAAAATCCTTAAATATCAGTTTTGAAAGTAAACCAAATACATATGCCACAAGTTTTCATTAATTAATTTCTGAATTAACCCCCTCCGATGTAGAATCTGTACGAGCAGCCACTCCTATTCAGCGACATCTCCTTGTAAGCAGTCACCATGACTTCACGCGTAGAAATTCTATTGTTTCATCTCTTTAATCAACGGTCTCTCAATAAACCCGGAATTATCTGTTAATTAATCTTTTGTTTTATTAAATGACAAACCCTGATCATTGTTTTCACACGCAACGAAACATTATTTGATACTGATTGAATAAACTAAAAGTACCGTCCGGGCCCGTAGCCAGCTCGTAAAATTTGGTGGGGCTATGGAATTCTTTGGAGGGGCTGTGGATGTGTCAGCTAAACCGCCCGGCGAAGCACCAAAGGCGCGAGCCAGGGCGAGGGGGGTCCGTGGGTCCTCCTCCAGAAAATTTTGAAAATTTGGTACTCTCTCCTCGCATCTGAGTGCATTCCTGGGCGTCAAATTGAAGTGCCTCAGGCAGGGTTTTATGGCTGAATTTTCTGAAATTTCTTTCATCGACCCATCCCGCCGATATCATCTTTAGGGTAGTAGAGAGTGTCTTTTGATTTACGCGGAGAACTCTAGACCGGGCAATACAGCTGTAGTATCAAATTTCAAGTGAACTATGGGTATTCTATTATAGAATTACAGTATAGGCTGCACAATAGGCAACATTTGAACCGGCGCCTTGTAGGCGAACGAATAAACCAGGGCCTCTTTTAACCCGCAACCTGGGTATAAAAGGGCCGGTCTCAGGAAAATGGCGATAAACTATGTAGCCTCTGGCGCTCGAATTCTCAATCTCAAAACGTTCAAAAATGTTCTGCCAGTGCAAATGGCAACACTGGACAGAGTCGGGTGCTAGGCCGGTAGGATTACGCGAGAGGAGCCGCGAGTACGTGAGTGTGATGAGCGAGTACACGTGTTCAGTGACAGTAGATCAACACGCTTCACAATGTACAACGCACGTATGGTATCAAGACAAGAGGATCAGGAGGTGATGATCACAGGCAGGCCTCGGTGGGCCATGGTATGAGCCTACGGGTAGCTTACCAAAGCCGAGTTTTGTCACGATCATTTATTATCTATTTTCCATTGCAACTTTATTACTAAACAAAAGTTTTAGCGCCTCCTGTATTACATACAGAGGTACACCCCCTGAAAATCAGTGACAAATTCAGCGATGTTTTTTTGGACATGTGCATTTTTGATTAAATAAAATTAATTCATGGATTTTCTTCACAAAAATGGATAAATATTATGAATACATCACAAAAGTAGACAGTAGTATCAGTGTTGGTACAAAATGACATGTTTACAGGAGATATATTATCAGAGATTTGAGTCAAATAATTTTCGTCCCAAGCAAGTATAGCGTAAAATTTACTTGAGGTCAGCACCAACGCCACCAACAAACACTGAGATTTTAAGAGGTCACCCCCGTTAAGGGGCAAGTCATGAAAATGCCCTTGAGTGGCTGCTTGATGCAGATTCTATTCGCAACATTGTTTTGACAATGTCTACCAGTAGTTATTAAGGTTAGTTAAGTGAGACCAGTTTCGAGGTCAAAGTGCTTTTCGTTGCAAGCAAACAAGACATGTTAACCTGAACTTTTGTGATCCTGTTTGATATAAAGACACCCAGATAACGAAAGTAATTTGAGGCTAATTATTTTTGACAAAGGAAGAATATAAAAAAAAGGATAAAAACAATATCTATTAAAAATGAATATGTGTATAAATAAGAAAATTTGAATAAAAAAAGTAGAATATACATATAATCCATTATTATCTACACATGCATTTACCTATGTGCAGCATGATATTTTTGAATATATAAACAGTATTATGCATAAAATTAAATAATATTTCAAATATAGACCAAGAATTTTCCAGGTCATTGTTGGGTTCTACATTAATTTAAACAAATAGGTTTCAAAATTTTAATATAATAACAGTGTGCATATATTTATGATTCAAGTAATCCAAGTTAGCCAAGAATATGGAATACAGCAATATATTCTTTCACTAAAAACAGAGTTTTTAATCATTGTATTTTTACCTTTCTGTTAAAAAAAATATAAAAAAAACAGAAAAAAACCCCAACCCAGATATTTTGATCTCAAAATAAGAAGTAGACTTAACATTCTAAAAATAAATGGTCACAACCAAAAGCCATCAAATTTAACATGGGACTAACTTTTAACTTCTTAATACATAAAAAGCAAAGTAATATAAAGGTTGTTAACAAGTGATATCAACTAAAAAGGAAGTGGTCTTGCTTTATGTTTCGGACATTATTTCTGAATAAATTTGTACCCCTTTTTCCATCTAGAACTACATTTTGTTTTCAAAAGGATAAATATAAATGAAATATAAAAAATAATTGATCAAGAAAAGTGGGTTGGTGATTTTAATAAACTCAATCTCATTAAACAATGTATCTCAGTTTCAAGTGATTTAAGGTTATCAACAACAGTTATTAATTCAGTTTTAAAATATACATATACATATAGTTATAAAAGTAGGCAATACAAAATGAGCAAAACTGTATTAATTTAATAATGTAAATATTTTAATTAACAGTTAAAGATGAACATGGCCATTTGTTTAGACCCTGTATGTATGCACAAATGTAACAAAAAAATCATTATCACAAACCAGTTTTTAATAGAACATGATACTAATAAGGCCTACTTGGTTACTCCCTGTAATAGTATAAAAAGAATACAAATTGTCATTTAAAACCCTATGTGAATTAGTTGAATTATTTATATATTACAATTGACCAAGAAATATAAAATCTTTCATCATTTCTAAAGTATAAAATATTATCTGCTAAGAACTTTTTTTAAAATTTGTTTTAAGTTATGCTAATTCTGTGAAAGAAAAACTGTTAACTAAATATGTTAATTTAAGATTAAAAAAAATACTTCAAAATCAACTTCTGTTCTACATACAGTATTTAAATTCTAAATAAACCTTCGAAAAATTCAGCAGCCAAATGATAGATACATATAGTTTATAGAATATCAATGAATTTTGAATTAAAAATGTAAAATGCTTTGAAAAGCTAATTCAATAGAAAAATACATAGGCGTTACAGGTACAAAACTGCATGTATTATGATTACAGTTACGTAAGAGTTACAATATCTGTAACAATTACAATATATTAATTATGTAACAATTACAATATATGTAACAATTACAATATATGTAACAATTACAAAATCAGTAACAACGACAGTATCAATAATAACTACAGTATTAGTAATAGCTACAATAACATTTACAATATCAGTAAGGATTTATATACATGTATGTATAACTATACGAAATCCTGGTATATAATAAGTACTATAATACATGTTTTAGTATATGTGGTACATTATGGATAAAATTCAATTATAAACAATTTCAAAGACATACAAATTGTTCTATTAAGCAACCCCTTAAGACATACACCTTGTCATATTAAGTTATATATGTAATAATAATTTTATATGTAATAAAGAGACAATTTAACCCAAGCACAAATAAGCTGTATAATGGACTACTGTGGAAATGTTTTCAGACTTACATTGTTATATTTATGATGGCGGCTTGAAATCAATAGACTTTTATTTTAATATTAGAACAAACAACAAATAGTTCACAATTAATGAGGAGATCAGTACATTGTATACAACTGTAATCATGACCTTGTACCAGTATTTGAATTCTTTTGTGAATAACTTTTAAAAATAAAATTAATCAATTTCTGTTTTTATAAATATAAAGATTATGTGTAGGTGTGTTTATAAAAAGCAAAGATGACAACAATATAAAAATTATTTAATTAATAAAAAAAAAATCGAGATGTTAAAAGTATATGTTAATAATATCTACAGTATATTTCACTCTTGGTGGGTTGTGGTTTAACCATCACAGCAGCATTATCTACAAAAAAAACCCAAAACAAACCAATTAAACATGCATTATGCAAAAACTAAATCTGCCTATTGCAGGTCTTATTGTATGGTGAGTGGTCTTATTGTATGGTAGCTTATTGTATGCCAGCTTGATCTCGGGCTGAAATGTTATCTAAATTATTAATAAGACATTAATTAACTTATCCAGATCATAATCAACTCACAATGTCATTGCTAGCCTCCAATATTTACTGGATTAGGATCCGATCTGCTGCTCAATGCTCATTCTTGATTAAAGCAAACAAAAGATAGGTTGCCAGGCAACGAAACATACGCCCACAGCAGCTAAATTGTCCATATTTCCCCACCCTTCTGTAGAACATCATTATATAAAAATTCGTTCTTTCCGTCAACAATTCGAGACTGGAACTTATTGGATTCATCAACAAAGAAAATAGAAAATATCAAAACTTTCAAAATAAAATTGTCTGAGAGATTCGAGATAATAAAGGCTCCAAATTATTATGCGAGTGGTAATAGAAAGTTGTGTATTTTACACACAAAACTTTGTCATGGGTGCAGTTCCCTCAACTCAGATCTTTTTCGGATAAATTTAATTGAAAATCCTGAATGTTCTTGTGGCGCGTCATCCGAAAACGCAAAGCACTATCTTTTGGAATGTAATTTGTTTGATATTGAAAGAAATGAACTTTTCAATTCTATACGTAGCTTCACCACCATAACCTTAAATATACTTCTTTGGGGTGATTCTAGTTTAAATACTGACATTAACATTTATATATTTAATCAAGTACAAAAATATATTAAATCAACTAAAAGGTTCAATTTATAAGTATGCGTAGTGTAGTTTCATTTTTGTTTTGTTTTTCTATTTGCACAACTGTAAAAATGTGTTGATTGTTGTTGTTGTTTATTTTTGTGTACGTAATACTACTACTTTGTGAGTTTCCCCTTCAAACTTTCGATTTCGATTTTTATTCGCAAGGGTGATTACTCATATTAAATTTCAAAAGAAGATACTAAATCCCCCAGTGAGATTCTTTGAGCATGTCGGAAAATTTACTTTCATAAACCAAATATCTAAGAATTTCTTTATAATGGGATTTTTAACTATCTATTATAACATCTATATCCTCCGTTTTTGTATGTTCTTTTCAATTGTACTATCATAACTGTCAATTACAATGTATGTGGAGAGGGCATCGGTAAGTTTTCGTAACTTTTGTCCCAATCCTTTTGTACTTTATTTATGTTCTATAGTACAATAAACTATGTTTAAACAAACAAGGGTTGTCACATATTTATTCCTTTGTAGGGGTCTTTAGCAGTGGGAGGAAACCAGAGGACACTGAGAAAACCGATGAGGTTGGACAGGCGACCCTACTCCTTGTCACGTACAACTAGTTAATCGAAACCACGCCAGTTGACTCTCAATGGCTGACCTTATGATACAATGCGCACGTGATAACCATTTGGCCATCGAACCCCCTTCCATTTTACAAGCCCCTGTGATTCACACTAAGATAAGACACTTTTCTGCACTTCAGTCTATAGTACAAGGTAAAAGACCATCACTAACGCTGCAATATACGTCCACATTCCTGCTTAGATTGATATGGTACTTTTTAAAATGAAGAGCATGATATACGAAATGGCTGCAATGACTGTAATATGACAAGAGATAAAGACCGCTAGGCGTTTGGTTTGTTTTGCCAAATTTACAGACTAAATATTAACAAAAAGTGAGTGTGACACCACCCCAGCGGGTCGGGGCATGCACCAAAATAAATAGTTGCTGTCTTCACGGTATAAGGAATATATATGCAAAGTTCCAAGATGATCCATTCCAAATTGCAGCCTGTAGACAATAAACACAAAAATTGGTTGTGGCTCTGCCCCTGGGTGTTGGATATGGAACAATATAAATAGGTACCACCCTGTTATTGAAATGATTGACATGCTGAATTTGAACTGCAACCTGTAGAATATTTACAGACAAAAAATTAACAAAAAAGTGGATGTGGTACCACATGCACCAAATTAAATAGTTGCTATCCTTACGTGCCAAGTTCCAAGATGATCCATGGACCAATATAAATAGGTACAACTGTATGATGGACCATGCCAAATTGGATCCAAATCTATTAATAATTGGGGGTCGGGCATGCACCAAAAATTGTAGGGTTCATCCTTAAGGTAAAAGGAATAAGTATGTAAAGTTTTCAAGACGATTCATTAAGAATTGTTGCCTTTAGGCGACACAGAGATACACAAAGAGAAAATGGGTGTGGCTCTGTCCCTGGGGGTTAGACATGCACCAAAAATAATAGTGATGAACCTTAGTGTATAAGGAATAAGTATGAAAAGTTTCAAGTGGATCCATAAAAAATGCAGCCTGTAGACGACAAACAAACAAATACCAAAAATGGTTTGGCTAGACCCCTGGTGGTCAGCCATGCACCAAAAATAATAAGGATCATCCTTAGGGTATAAGGAATAAGAATGTAAAGTTTCAAGAAGATCAGTTAACAATTGCAGCCTGTAGGTGACTCACAGACACACACACATACATACACACAGACGTCAGAACACAGCAATATATGTCAATATGAATCTGGACTTATAAAAATTAAATTGGAAAGAAAACTATCTTTTCAAGGCTATTGGGTATCTGAAGGGTAGTGTTAGGTAAAACTAAAAACAACAATTATGACTGTAACTGAAAAATAACCTCTCAAAAGGGAGATAAGAAAAGAACAGTAATGAAACCAAAGTCATAGAACAATTCTCAGGAATTGGATGAAAGACAATAAAAATTACATGACTTTGTTTTTTACTTTTAAAAGTCTATTCACACAGATTGATCACACACAACATGCAAATTACCAGGTTGAAATTAATATGTCTCACAATTTTGACTTTACAAAATATAGATCATCATTATATTTTCGAAATTATATACATCCTTAGATCTATGTATAGCCTTACCTTGCCATTGTTTACATTTAATGTAAACGTTTTGTTTCATCTTTAACATCATCCTTATCTTTCTCAAAAAACATGAAGTCCTGAAATAGAAAAAAACGTGCATCTTATCCAAAGTGTAAATATAAGTGTACTTTTATTTAACTTGTGTTAAAGAGGCAATTAGCAAGTTGATGATCTGACTACAACTCTACAAAGCAACAGAAGAGTTTTAATTTTATATTTACTATTGTCCAGGGGGTATTGTCCAAAATCAAATGTGCAATTTCTGAATTGTTATAAGAGATCACAAGAAACTCCTAGCATTCTTTTGTCTACAATAATATTATTGTCCGTTTAAATCCCTATAAATTGGATTATAAATAGGCTACAAAGTTTGCTATTATCACCTAAACTATTAATGCCAGGTCCGACTGTGATAGATTTCAATAAGTGTGGAATTATTCATGGCAATACTTATAGTTACATGTATAATATGCTTCAGATAATTTAGTGATATTACTCCAGGTCTGCATGCAGTTCTGTATTAATATCCTAGTGTAAATTGTGTTACAGAATCTTCTATATGTGAATAAATGAATGAAATGGGACTCCATGTCCTACTGTTTTACAGCGTGTTATGAGGAAGATTTTGCCTGGACAGCGGCACTACGGCCTACTCTTATTTCAAATTCATATTGTCATGGGTTCTATTATGTGCACACCAATGTGTTCCTTTGGACACATTTTTTTGTCCCATCCTAATGACTATACTTTCTTCCTTCCCAGGCCCTCCATCCTGCACCACTGACAAGGGGGGACTATGGCAGAAAACCGTTACACAGGGATTGAACGCTGGACCTCCAGGTTAACGAGCCAATGTCTTACTCAATGAGACACTGTAGCTCCCTCTTCTATCTGTATAAAAGATTACTTACGATAAGAAAAACAGCTCCTAACATAACTGATTTCATCTTAACATCCAAATCAAGTGGGAAACTCATTCCAAAATTATCAGCATCGGTAAACATTTCTTTAGCCAATCCAGTCCATTGTTTGGATATACGACCAACATCAGTACTTTCATCAGCAGACGTAACCTGTAATTGGAAATACCATGGGATTAAAACTTTACAAGGGTCAGGACAGTAATGCCATTGAGCAGTTTGGTAGGAAAACAGCAGAGCAGTTAGCTACAGTAAGATATGTGACCACATTATTTCAATAAAACTTGCTGTCTACTAGATATCAGATCCTTGATTCCTTGAATAAGACACACTGTCCTTGTCTTCCAGTCTACCCAACAGTAATCTGATACTGGTAGGCTAGGCAGTAAAAACAGTAAAATCACGTCTTTTGTTGAATTTCATTGGCTATAGGTTAAGCTGTGCAGTAATAGGTACGTGTTTAGTTGTTCAGACATTATGTTTAGCTTTTCAAATAATATGTTCAGGTTCAGATAATATGTTTAGTTGTTCAGCTAAACTGAGACACTATGTTTAGTTGTTCAGACAAAATGTTTAATATGTTTAGTTGTTCAGATAATATGTTTAGTAATATGTTTAGTTGTTCAGATAATATGTTTAGTTGTTCAGACAATGTTTAGTTGTTCATGATAATAAGTATTACTGGAAATATTAGTTTTTCGGATATTAAGTATATGTTTAGTAATGAAATTAAAGAAAAGCTTCTCCTTCAAAAATCTTACATCAAAATCGATGTCTCCACAAATATTCCACTGACAACATGGTCCTTTAATACGAAGGACAGGTTCATCTTTCTCATTGTTGATTTTAAATTTAGGTTTACAACAACTCCATGCTTGTCTGACATATCCAACAGTCTGTCCTGGTGGTGCTTCAACAGTTACTTTCTGCAAAAAAGAGAGTTAGAAAAATAGGGTTTAACATCCACTCATCACAACTTGGTCACATTGGAACTACTATGATATATGTTTATTTCATAATGCTAGGTTTCCACTAACACGATCGAAATCATGGTTTTAATCGTGGAGTAATCATGGTCATCCTATCAGTTCTTATCATATATTGCTGTCAGTCATAGTAATCTTGCTGATCGTATCGAAACGTATCTGAATGTATCTGCATGTTGCAGATCATGAACTCAATAGCAACAATGCTATCATAACGCATCGCATGACAGTGAGAATCTCACATTAATTAACAAATATGTAGAAAGAGAAGAAATTGCTGAAAATTGTCATATGTTAAGTAAAATTCAATCAGATAATAGATAATACTCATGCCAGAAAAATCTTTTTTTACTGTCCGAATACAAGGTACCAGAACAAGAATTTGTCACTCACCTCTGTTTGATAATCAAAACAAAAGTAAAGTTTGTAACTTTCAAAGAAATATTTCAGTCATTTTGATCTCAATTAATTTACTTACAGTTTCAACCTAATAAAAGGACTTTTTAAAGAGAAAATAAATTACCTGCAGACAACATGGACACCAACAAGTAGAACAACGAAGAGGTCGAGACAAATGAACAACCTCCTTCCTGGTATTGTCCAATATCTTAATATCAAATGGCCGTGATGCACCACAACAATTTCTAGTACAACAACATGTATCTAAAAGAACAAAATAGCTGATTGTCATAATTTGAAAGACAGGTTGCAAGGCAATGAAATATATGCCCACAACAGCTAAGTAGTCAGGGAAATCAACAAGGGTTATCCCATATTTTTTCTTTTGTCAGTAATGAAAACAACAAAGTGTTCAGGGTTGGATTGATGAATTGTCCGATAAAAGATTAAGGCAGATTAACTAGTTAATCAAGGTAGGTGTATAGGTGGTATAACACGATAAATATGTTGATTACTTAATTACCTAATCAATCCAGCGCATTATCAACGATAATCAGGTTGAGTGGTAGTTATACACTCAGTAAACTATATTAATTTTGGAAATTTGAATATTATTCACCATGTCTTGATGTCCGATGGGGCATATTCTCGGTTGGACAAATTTGGGCCTTTGGAAAATAGCGTTGGACAAGTCCGGAATATACAGGCTAAATCCCATTCCTGCAACACACTAAAATCAATTTATGAGTAACAACCGACCATTAAATAATTATAAGAAATCATTAGAATTTGTTTCGATTGTTTGTCTCATGACCTTAAAATTGTGTATAAATTGATATTAACATTAGCCTCTAGAGTGTTCGCAAGATTTTTCAAAGTTATCAAGGGTCATTACTCTGGCAATAATTATCGGATATTGCTGAAAATCAATAGGCTTCTTCGTCTAATGACCTTAAACACTGTGTATAAATTTAAAGCCAATCTGATATTAGTAGCATTTAGAGCATCCACAAGATATTTCAAAGTGATCAAGAGCCATAACTCTTGCAGTAATTATCAGAAATCATTGAAAAGCAATAGGATTCTTTGTCACAAGACCTTAAATGAAATGAAATAAAATGGGGTTTAATGTCGTACTGTTTTGCTCCAACTGGGCTAATAAAGACGGGCATACCCCATACAGTGGGCTATGAGGAAAATTTTGGTCAGACAGTGGCGCTATGGCCTACTCTTATATCGAATTCCAACTGCCAAGGGATCTTTTACATGCATGATTTTTCATCCAATCCACACAATTAGACAGCTGTCCTTGTCAGGCCCCCCTTCCCCTCCCCCGCATTCAAGCATCACTGACAAGAGGAAACCACGCCGGAAAATCCTGATAAACTTTCTCGACCAACAGCATGTTCGACCTGGAACCTCCAGGCTAGTGAGCCAGCGTCTTACTCACTTAGCCACCGCACAACCATAAACATTGTTCAAAATCAATAGCCTGCCTTGTCTCATGACTCTGTATAAATTAAAATTTATTAACTTCAATCTTTAGAGTGTCTACAATATTTTTCAAAGAGGTCAAGAGACATAATTCTGGCAGTAATCATCGGTAAGGTTTAAAAATCAAGACATCTTTGTCTCGTGACCTTAAAACACTGTGTATAAAATTATAGTCAATCTGATATTAACTTTAGCCTCTAGCCTTCGAAAGTAATTGTGAACACCTGACCACTGGACAGACAGACAGGCAGGGGCAACGACAATATACATCACATTTCAATATGGGCGACCAACAGGTGTACAAAAATATATTATCACTCATTAGTTTATTTAGGGACAACATATGGTCAGAGATGCATTATTTTAGAGGTAAATTTGTCTACTGTATGTCTATTTTCTGGCATCAAATATTATATAAATTATTATTCCAACATTTATTAACATAAGCCTATAATCAACCCTCTGGGCCATTGGATGGCTCAGATTTTAAGTAGATTAGAACACCCCGGCCATTTATGAGTTTAACAATAAAACAGATAATCAAGACAATCAAGAATGTCTTGATTATCTGTTTTATTGTTAAACTCATAAATGGCCGGGGTGTTCTAATTGCTATAATGACAAACAAGCTACCGGTATGCTACTTTTTGTCAAAACTTCAAACACTCATAACTTCAAACAGGATAAAGTAATCTGACAGAAATTTTCAATATATCTATTTTTGAACTATTATAGCAAGAACTGTCTTACATAATGCATCTTATAATCTTAATTCCAGTATTTTATATACACACAAACACAAAGGAATTCTTGCCGAGTGGGAAGGTACTACAAAAACCTTGAGAAAAATCCATGTTATTTACAGTCATAGATCGGAAATATTATTTCATTTGATGTCAAAGTTGTAGTTTAGTACCAATGGGTTTTTGTGCAAACCTTGCACATCTGGCCAACGAAGCGTCCAGGGGAGGTTATCTTACTGCTTCTAAATTTTAAAGTCTTAAATCTCTCTACTACAGCCAGCATAAAAATGGCATACCATGAATGCAAATATTAAGTGTTTTGTGCAAAAGGAAGATGTTCGTCAACTTGAGTGTTAAAATTACTTTTGAGTTCACAACTAGAAAATCGGCCATGAAAAACAGGCAAATACAATCACTACAGAAGTTTATTTTATTTCATATGAGAGATTAGGTCATTTCAGGGTTAGGCAGGCGACTCTTCATTACACATAAGAGATCCAGTAAATAGCGATTTACCGAAATATGGCATTGCAGCTGTTTTATCACAAAAAAATAAACCAACAGACTTTTACACTTACCCTCAACAGCATAGTAAATTTTTTGACCCATACTGTTAACAATTTCATATTTATTGTTGGTCTCAAAACCGGTTACAGCTAGAATAAATAAAAATAAAAATAAAACGTGACATGTTAAGTAGGTAATAATATTTTTTCATTATTTTACAGCATATATTTATAGTGCACTCCCTTCTGAGCCAAAGTCTTCAGACGTGCAAGACCGTGTACACCGTGGTATTATCCAGGCGTTTATGTAATGTAGGCATTTATACAATGTATCAGGCACTTATGAATTTCTATCTGGAATTTATTACTTTGTGCCGGATATCAGGTACAGTCAACACAGTAACTACGGTATGTCAGTTAACTTTTCTACAAGCATAAATGACATTTACAAACAAGAGACAAATCTATTGTAACCAGTGGTTGCCATAAAAAATATGCCCACATTTTCAAGAGATGGATAATAGAGAACAAGCTAAAAAAAAAATATAAACATATATTTTAGGTTTCATCAAAATCAGACAAACATTGTGACCTCTAGAGCGTCCACAACCTTTGTATTACATACTTTTACACGGTGACCCTACTCCTTGTCACGAACAAGCTGGGAATCAAAGTCACACCAGCTGACTCAATGACAGAGCTTATAATCTAATGCGCAAAAGTTAAAGCATTTGGCCACCCAACCCCCTTAAAGAGTTGTTATCACAGGGGAAATCATAAGGTATGTTTATTGAATGAATACAGTACAAACCTTCAATACCCTCTATTTTCTGTTTAACCATGAGTTGATCCACCGTAGCTAAATACTGAAGACCTGGTGGACAATCTTTAGGTATCTGTTGAGGTGCTCCAATCCAACCACCAGCTCCACCTATAGGGGCTCCTATATAAAGCAATAATTTGTTTAAGGTTTGATGCATCATTTAGCGCTATCAGAATACTTTATTGAAAATTCATCCATCTATGCTGCTTGTATATAACCAGATGTAGCACAGACTGAATCCAAACCGGGAGATTATCTAGCGTTAAATAATACATCTATATATATAGCATAACAAATTTTATATTTTAGCCAAAATGCAAATCGATTCTTTATAACTTATACATTGGAATTAACAATTTATAAAATGTCAGGTAAACTGAGAAACAACAATAATTTTGATATACTGACCCAATTCTTAAAATTTTCAGTTGGCTTGTTTGATCAGTAAGATAAATTTGGATATTTTGGTTTTATTGACCATAGTTTGCCACAAAATGTAACTATTTAAGATCTTACAAAAGAGAGATTTTTGGTGCATGTGAAACATTCTTAAATGGGATTTACAGTCAAGTCAACACAATTCTTTATTTATTTTGAGAATAACATATGATAAATTCATTTCTATGGTTACAGATGAAATTTGTTTTGCCCAGGCAGCAGCATCTCCCCTACTTGACTTTTAATTACAACTTTCAAAGGTCCTTTAACATGCATGCCAAAATGTACATGAACAAAAAGCTAAACAATAGTATTTTTTGTATTTTGTTTAATATCTAAATTCTTTTACAGGTTCCAAAATATCAGTCAAGCTAACTCAGAGGAAAGTCAGTGAATTAGTGGAAATGGATTTATGGCTCCTAACTATAATCATGGGAAATCAGACAATGCCTAGGTGACTGTGATTACCCTCCCTGTAGTGTGAGTTACACTGTCAGCGTAGAGGACTAGCTTCAAATGTGAGCTTGTTTACGAAATGGTCCCTTAATCCCTAGTAACTGGAAACAGCAGTATTTTCAATCTGATATTTACCAGTAAAAATCATTATAAATGACCAGTCAGATTAAAGTAAAAATTCAAACCTCCTCCCATAGGTTGCATCATCATTGGTGGGCCACCAGAATAACCCCCAGGACCTTGTTGGCCTTGCTGTGGGTAACCTCCAGGACCTTGTTGACCTTGTTGTGGATAACCTCCTTGTTGTGGATAACCTACTGGGCCTTGTTGTGGATAACCTTGCTGACCTTGTTGTGGATAACCTTGCTGACCTTGTTGTGGATATCCTTGTTGAGGCTGGGGATACCCTGGCTGACCGCCCTGATCTAGCTGAGGATATCCTGGCTGATTTGGTTGAGGAACAGGCCCAAGACCTGGCCCAGCTCGTGTTTCTTTGACTTCCATTTTAAGTTAAACTGTCAAAAGAGGAAACATTATAACAATTTAGATAACTGATAAATGTAAAAAAAACTTTTGCCAAGACCGCAGTGCTTCAGCTTAATCTTATATTAAATTCCAACAGCAAAGGGATATTTTATGTCCACGGCAATGTGTACACACAACATCAGTTTTTGCGTCCCATATGAAAACTACATGTTGTCTCTTGCCAAGCCCTTTATCCTGCACCATATAAATGTAAAAACCTATCGGTAATACAGTATGAAAAAAATTTATCAATTGCATTTTCTCAAATAAACACCACAGTATTCAATTAGTGATATACAATATGTATATGTAAGGAATATAAAAATTGTTTTGAAATATGGATGATATCCTATGAATTGTGCTTTGGAAAACAGCTCCTCAACTACTAGTATCTGGTAAGTTGACTAGTCACTGCTAGTTCTTAAAGTTGCAATTTCATATTTTTAAGTTATATTTTTAAAATGTATTAAAATAAAGCCTTAAAATAGATACTATAAACAGTCCTACCTTGTTAAAGAATAATCCTATTAATCCTATAATTCAATATTGCCAGTTAAGAAATTGGCAAAAATATCATTTTCAACTTCAAGTTCAAACCTTTGAAGATAGCTATTCCATGGGGGGGGAATAGAAAAACAAGGGAGGTAATTGTGTTATTATTTCCGGGGTCAAGGATAAGGAGAATGATACCTATGATCGTATAATAGTGAGTTGACAACCTATTGAGCAAAAGACATAGAAATAATTATGTTTTGACTTTCTTAGAAAATATGAAATTCTCGCTTTAAATTTCATAATAATGTATGTATGAGATAGAGAAATCTGATTTTTGTCAACTCAACATATACTGTATCATTTTGGGACTAACTATTTATCTTACTAATTTCTTTGCCACAGGGGTCTTAAGGATTGGAAGGTGAATCTCAGGTAACCCTACTCCAATGTTATGTACAAGCCTGGGATCGATTCAAAACTACTCAATGTATACTTGACTCAATGTTAGACCTTAAGAACTATTCTAAGCTACATATACACAGGCCACAATTCTATGAAATACAATTACTGCTTATTACTGAGCGATGTTTGGACTAGGCTTTTCTAGTCGAAACGTCGCTCAGTAATAAGCAGTAATTGTATTCCATTGTGACCTGTATGTTCCAGTTAAATTACTAAATGCCATTGAAACAATTTAAGCTACTTATAGTAATAAGTACAGGGGAAGTACAATTATACAAGACAAACCAACAAACAACAAACGCATATATCAAATAAAGTGAATGGATCCAGGGGCCAGCTGTAAACATCCACTAAATTGGGAACTATCATTTTAATTTTGCATTTAATTAATGGAAATTAGTAAATACAAATATTTGTCATGTAAGACATGATCGTTGCACAATTTTATTTAAAATAAAGTTTGCTTTTTTTGTGTTTGGAAGACAACTTGGGCATTTTTCCAATTCTATACAAAATTAGGGTAAGAAAATCTATTTTAAAAAGAAATTAATTAGCTTGGCCTTATACACCAAAGTCTCAACAATTGTCCATTTAAACTAGGACAATTCATTAAAGGCAAGTCTACTGGGGTACTCCCACTGTGCCAGTTTTTAATCCCTGGATTATCCTGGATTATCAGATTTTAACTACAGCCTTAATTGGCTTAATCAAGTGGGCCAATTTTATGGTGTAGAGAACTGTGTGTGTTCAACAGATTATTCGTTCAGCATATGGCATGTAAACTGTGTTCATCTTATTTTTTGTTAAAACTTACTTAAGTGGTGAACTCCGTTCAGAGGACACTATATATATGGAACCACTGTCATTTGTCAACAACATTGATCTGACAGATATCACAAGATGGCAAACGTTCAAGTAGATGTTAGTTTCATACCAAATGCTTAGGGTGGCCAAAATCTGGTGTATAGAGGGCATAAATTTATAAACATATTTCGTTTTATCCATCTAATCAAGCAAGAACAGGCATTCGTTGCTGTAACCCTGAAACAGCTTGCTGCTGGTGCCTCTAGCAAACCCAGAAAAAGGAAGTACCGGCACTTGGAAGACAGACCAGCTGGTAACAGAAAAGCGACGCCTCCATGAAGGGCATTACACCATCATCGAGTACGGGGATGCTGTCTCCCATTTAGTTGGATTGTAAGATGTATTTTGTTGAAGATGTATTATTAATAGGAAAATGTTTGATCAAATAAAATGTTTAAATGCTAACTTGTACATTATATGCTAAAAATTTTAAATATTGTATCTTAGTATAATAATACAATGTATGTAAAAAAAGGTAGATTTAAAATGGAATAAAATATTAAATTAAACTGTTAATCCTCTGGTAAACCATTAACCCTTAATCCTAACTAATCCCCATTGTTGTATCGTTAATTATTTGATTAATCCCTAAACAATAAAACTGGCACAGTGGGAGTAAATCAGTCTACTGCACACAATTTTAATAAATGAAGTTGATTAATTCTCAACTTAATTCTCAGCTACAAACTGTACATTCTTTATTATGACAAATGAAATTTCTTTGTAGTGATTAACACCATTATGATGAAATCATGGTTTCCTGTTAACTAGATAAGAAACCTCATCTCTGAACCCAGCATGTCTTGAGATAAGAGATGGTAACATATATAGACAAAGAGCCAGTGACGAAAAAACTGCCCCTTAAGTAATAGAAGGTTTGTCCATATCAACTGGCAGCTATTGATAGGGCAAATTCAAAACACCCAGTCTTACGAGGTTTCAGTGGGGCATTTGGCTGGGAGGGGTAGATAAAAAGGGCCAAAAAGGGCTAAAATTTGCCTCATAAGTACTAGGATCAGAATTATTTCTCAAACATTGCCATACAATGTATGTATATAAAAAATATAAATCTGACCGGAAAAAGTGGGGCCATGCCAAAATTTGCCTCATAAGTAATATAGATGAAATTGGTGATTTTTGCCATTTTTAGGCCAAATTTTAGCTATTTTTGTTGCACTACTATTGCTGTTACATGACCCTGGCGAACTAGGTTTTGGTTTTTCAAAATAGTCGGGGTCTTACCCTATCACATTATCATGGTAACCCGGTTCAATTTCATTTTCCATAGGTGCCAGGAGACTACACAAGATGCGTGTCTGGAGATATCTGAAATGTACCCTATCTTCAGATCGCGATGACTCTACTGAAGCAGGGTTTGCGATAAAAATTAAAATCAATTTATTTGCAGCTTGACCAGTTCTAACAACATAAGAAATAAAATCATTGTCAGTTAACTTGCAACAGTATGAAAATTTGTGTCGAAAGTTACCAAAAACTTTAGTTTTGATTAGGATACATTGGCGGATTATTCAGGTACCCAATGGCCTATATTGTTATTCAAAGGGTCAATATATCAACTACGGCTCCCCTTCAACCTGCTTTGCCAAAATATTCAGTCTTGGTGTGGTTTGGTATCCAGCAGTGATGGGATTTCAAAATTTTTCTGGTCGGACATTTTACCGAAAATAAAGGGGCATAACTCTTATCATTATTTAAGCAGCAGAATTCATACCACATTAATTAAAAATCACATGTCGACAAAATATTAAAATCCCGTACGTAATAAAAATTCATACTTAATTCACGTACGGTATGCAATTCATACCACAATTAAAAATCACATGTCAACAAAATATTCAAATCCTGTACGTAATAAAAAAAATAGGTGAACCTCGCTAATTTTCATATTTAATTCCCGTACGGCATTCAAATTTATGTCAGTAACATTCCTACAAAATTAAGCATTTTCGTAATACATTAAATGGAAGCTTGCCGATCCTGCTTTAGTTTGCGGACACGGGAGGTCACAATTTTTATCCGATTTTGATGAAACTTAAAAGGTATGTTTATAACCCAAAGATCTCAGTTCCTTTTGATATTCCCGCATATCAGATCTTAACTTCCTGGATTATAGCCCATGATTGTACAAAAAGTCGCGTTTTTAGCTTGTAGCCCCTCTAGAGGTCACAATTTTTATTCGATTTTGAAAAACGTTTTAATATATCACCGTTACACGCTAATGATGGCCCCTGATTGTACGAAAAATCCCTTTTTATTTAGCTTGTTCTCTGTCCATCTCTTGCAAAATGTAGGTGTATCTCGCATGGCAACCGCTTATTCATAATTAATTCCCGTATGGTATTCAAATTTATGTCATAATATTCCTACAAAATTACGTGTTTTCGTAATACGATAGAATGAAATTTGTCAATCCGTGCCTGTTTCAATCAAATTCACGCCAGTAATATTCCCCAAAAATTTTGAGTGTTCATTTATACGGCAACAAATGAAAGAAAGGCGTCCAAAATAAGAATTGCTTGTGGTCATGTCAAATCATTTTCGTAAAATGGTATTTTAAAATTACATCGATAGTTAAATCACTTGTAAAAGGCATACATAACTTCAGCGTATGGCGTACATGACCATTAACTATAACACATACATGTACAGTAGTTTCGTAGTAAGCTCTGCCTAATATAGTAAGCGATTTTATATATGGTGTCTTAAAAGAAGTATTTTCATTACGGAAAATAAGTTAAAGCTTTAATAGCTAACAATAGACAGAGGTGTTGAAATTTATAACGACTGTCCATTGATTTGGGGTGTTATATATACTATTAGGATAATATGTGACATCAAGGACTAATTTCTACGTACTGTCGGTTGATATCAATGAGATTAAATGGTCCACCAATGGAGAAATCACCAAGGTAATCACGTAGATAAGGTTGATACTCACTCTTATTGCATTGATAAATAGTCCGACAAAAGAGAAGCAATCACTTCTGTTCAAGATTAGATTGATGAATTTCCCGACAAAGTAAAATGTCAGTGGTAGTTATACACTCAGTTCACTATATTAATTTTGATATTCTGATTATTATTCATCATATCTTGATGTCCGATTGGGCATACTCCTGGGCTGACATTTCGAAAATTGCGTAGGACATGTCAGGAATATACCGTCGAAATCCCAAGACTTAAGAAACCGAAATTCGACGCGAAAAGTGACAAATGTCGTAACTTTTGAGACAAATGTACATGCTGTTGAAGTTTAGTTGACAACGATTTTATTTTTTATGTTGTTAGAACAGGTTAAGCTACAAATAAAACGATTTTCATTTTTATCGCAAACCCTGCTCCAGTGGAGCTATCGCAATTTGAAGATAGGTATAATTCAGGTTTCTGCAGACACGTATTATGTGTAGTGTCATGACACCTACGGAAAGAGAGGTTGCACTGGGTGACCATTATAATATAGTAGGGTGAGACCTTAACTATAATCACCAACCAAAACTTAGTCGCCATTGGCCGATTAACAGCTATAGCAATGCTACAAAAATGGTCGAAATTAGACCTGAAAATGTTCGAAAATCAGCCTAAAAACGTAATCAGACTGTACAGTAGAATCTGTATTAAGGGCCACTCAAGGGAATTTTCATTACTGGCCGCCTAACGGGAGTGACCGCTTAATAAAATCAAGTAAATTTTACGCTTGGATGCATTGGGGGCAAACATCAATACTTGCATCAGTAAATTTGGCCGTCGCTGAAACTTGCTTGGGAGGAAAATTATTTGACACAAATCTCTGATATATCTTCTGTAAACGTGTCATTTTGTACCTATATTGATACTACTGTCAACCATTATGATGTATTCAATATTATTTATCCATTTTTGCAAAGAAAATACATGAATTAATTTTATTTTATCAAAAAGCACATCTCCAAAAAAACATCACTGAATTTGTCACCGATATTTAGGGGGTGTAACTCTGTATGAAATATAGGAGGTGCTAAAACTTCTGTTTAGCAACAAAGTGGTAATGGAAAATAGATACTAAATGATCGCGACAAAACTCGGCTTTGACGGTACTATTAGTATTAGTTTATTCAATCATTATCTAATAATGTTTCAATACGTGTGAAAACAATGATCAGGGTTTGTCATTTAATAAAACAAAAGATTAATTAACAGGTAATCCCGGGTTTATTGATATTTTTACGGTTCGTTTTACCTGATCGGTGGGGGGGGGGTAGATAATTAACTATTAATCATGGGATTAGCGGAGGTGCTACGAAGTACGACAAGATGGTATCATTCAACAATGGCCGTTGAATAAACGCTATTTTGCTAAATTTATTAGTAAAAGAGTGACCGCTGGCTGCATTAGAGGAGTGGCTGTGGATTAAAGAGATGAAACAATAGAATTTCGACGGGGGGGGAATTTATCGTGACCGCTTACAAGGAGATGTCGCTTACAAGGAGTGGCTGCTCATACAAATCCTACATCGGAGGGGGTTAATTCAGAAATTAATTAATGAAAACGTATCTCAGAAACGGTTGATTTCTAAAATCGGCGATTTTGGCTGTGGAGTAGGCTGGATGGGTCGACCAAACCCAGTAAATATGAACTCAATCGGCTGCCCCCACCTTCTGCATGGTTTTCTCGTGGAATGGCTCTTAATTGTTTAATCATTGTCTAATATTTCCGCCACAGTGATTAAACAATTAATAATGATATAGTTGTTCAGTTCATACTATTGTTTTTTGGATATATATATAATATTTAATACTAATATTTGGATGAAATAATCTATATTTAAATAACTTTTACATAGTGCCAATATCTTTCGGCCTAATGGCGTCTTCAGGGCTAATACAAAAGATAATAATGTCACTTAGTTTTCAAGCTAATGTGTGTCCTGTTTGCTTATTCCCTACTGTATATATATGATAATATTAAAATACAATTTCTAAACCAAAGATAGGTTGCCAGGCAACGAAACATACGCCCACAGCAACTAAATCGTTAGGGCAGTCAACAAGATATGTCGCATAACTCTGGCAGTAATCATCCGAAATCGCTGAAAATCAATAGGCGTCTTCGACTCATCACCTTAAACACTGTGTATAAATTTAAAGTCAATAAGATAGTAACTTTACCCTCTAAAGCGTCCACAAGAATTTTCAAAGTGATCAAGGGCCATAACTCTGGAGGTAATTATCGGAAATTGCTGAAAATCAATAGGCTTCTTCGTCTCATGCCCTTAAACACTGTGTATAAATTTAAAGTCAATCCAATCAGATATTAACTTTAGCCTCTAGAGCGTCCACAAGATTTTTTGAAGTGATCAAGGGTCATAACTCTTGGCAGTAATTATCGGAAATCACTGAAAATCAAAAGGTTTCTTCGTCTCATGACTTTAAACACTGTTTAAAAATTTAAAGTCAATCAGATATTAACTTATAGCCTCTAGAGCAGTGGTTCTCAACCTATTTTTGCCAACGGCACACTTTGAGACACATGAAATGATAGTGGCACACGTGGCTAACTATATGTGAAAAAAAATTGAGTTTTGCGAAATAGAATACTGATAAGTCAGACGGCATACAGACTAGTCATAGACTCACAAAATGACGCAAACTAAATAAAGAAAAACACAGCCATGAACTCCAGTAAATACTCAATTAGGATCACATGGTTTTTCGCATTTTCTTAGTGTGCTGTGAAAAATTTCGTGGCACACTTAGGAAGATCTCGAGGCACACCTGTGTGCCGCGGCACACTGGTTGAGAACCACTGCTCTAGAGCATTCACAAGAGTTTTTGAAGTGATCAAGGGCCATAACTCTGGCAGTAATTATTGAAATATGCTGAAAATCAATAGGCATCTTCGTCTCATGACCTTAGCCTTAAACACTGTGTTTAAATTTAAAGTCAATCAGATATTAACTTTAGCCTCTAGAGCGTCCATAACATTTTTTGAAGTGATCAAGGGTCATAACTCTTGGCAGTAATTATCGGAAATCACTGAAAATCAAAAGGTTTCTTCGTCTCATAACCTTAAAAACACTGTGTATAAATTTAAAGTCAATCAGATATTAACTTTAGCCTCTAAAGCATCCACAAGAGTTTTTGAAGTGATCAAGGGCCATAACTCTGGCAGTAATTATCGAAATACGCTAAAAATTAATGTCCTTAAACACTGTGTATAAATTTAAAGTCAACCTGATATTAACTTTAGCCTCTAGAATGTCCACAAGCAATTGTGGTCTAAGGTGAGACACCTCTCTACCATACTTTATTATTATCGCTAAGTGGTGATAAGTATTATGAGTGTTAAAGGCTCAATACAACTCTTGTTGTAACTGAATAATATGTCCCAATCTTTATTCTGGTCAACAAATTGTACTATTTTACAATATTCCAATTAATTGATGATACAAATTTCATCTTAACACACCTAATTTAAAAAATTGGAAAAATTCAACTAAATGATTTGAAAAGCCTGACGTAAAGCTTTTCAAATGTGACTTGGATTTAAAAATATTTTTGAACCCTCTGGACAAGTAAAATAGGATTTAATGGATAATTTACACAACAGGTAGGACACTAACACGTCTAGTACTTAGAATAAGGCTATTTTTTTTTTCTGGAGCTGTCATACCCCGCAACAAATTCAATGGTTTCGTCCAACACGGGAGCAAAGCCATGTTGTCTTGAACTCAGTCAAAAATACAAGTAAATACGTCAATTTTTTCAAGAGAGAACTTTTTTATTCGTTGGGATATTAAATTGTGCAATGGATTTTAATTAACGGGAGTTGATTTCAAACACACAGGTAAGTTTATAATAACCAAAGTTAAGTAGTTTGATCATAATCGAAGAAATCCATTTAAAATTTACGATGGTTCAGACAGTAGTTATTCAACATATTGAGCTGCCTCAGTCCATAATATTCTTAAATTAAATTAAAGATCCAGGAAAGCAAATTAAAAGAAAAAAAAAAATAAGCTACCCTTTGTGATTAGAACAAAGAATTGTAAAAATACCCTTAATTTTACAAATATGTACGTATATTAAATAAAAGAAAGCACGGTACCGAAGTTTGACCTATTTTTTGTCTATTTTTAGAAATCTTCTCGTAAACCCTAAATGGTTGCCTTGGATTTTCTTAAGACTATTCATTACTTTTTTGCGGTAGAAATGATACTAATATCAGCATGACTGATTACGAATCCCCACATTCGTTGTAATATTATTACACTGTGTGCAAGAGTTTATTCATTATTTACATGTAGGCTTAATTGTAAACTGAATAAAAACAGACAATTCATTATTAATATTAGACTTATTTGCCATTCCTTCCATCTTCAAGATCTTGTGTTCCATTTTCATACCGCGCGATATGACTAGTTTAATCAACGAATTCAAAGAAAACAAGAATAAATACTTTTAAATATATATAAATACTAACAAACCAGTTTGATTAGACTTCTATGGTTGAGTTTGGGTGCGGTTTTGTTGCTCAATATTTAGACTGTATCGCTCAATGTTTAGTGGTGATCGCCAAACAATTACAAGAGTTACTTCCCTTCAAAAATACCGTATTCACTGCAATAATTTCCTTTAATTTCCTCGGATTAATACACATAATAATATTACCACTAATACCAGATAAACAATTACTCATAAGGGTGTGTGTGTGAACTTGAATGGCATGACACCGTTTATTATATTACTCAATGACATCGTGTGTACGTATTTTTTGTGTCTAGCTTTCTACAGTGCGCGTTACCTACACTGGAATCGCCGTTTTTGACGTTGTCAATTAAGTGGGCTAACCCGTTTTTTTTTTGTCCAATTCCAACTACTGTTGCAACAACTATCTACATCTTCTCCTAGCAATTAGCCATCCGGCGACTGGCAATAAATGGGAAACCAGGCTGGAAAATCCTGAGTAACTTTTAAGAATTAGCGAGCAAGCCAGCATGGTTCACACATCTAAAAAGAGATTTATAAAATATGTCTTCCTTAGGTCCAAAACCACATAAATTAACACTATGATGAATAACAAATTATACATAGGCCTACATTTAATACGACCAATGTAGTCAAACAGAATATTTGGTTTCTGTGATGAAATGAGCTGCTAAATAGGCCTACTTTGTTTTAAAAAAAAAGTATTGAAACTATACACAATTGTGAATTTGTAGTCCCCTATTAGTGAAATAAAACCAAGTACAAACAATCCAAACCATTAGACAAAAAACCCAAAAAAAACAAACGGTATAAGCAAACAAATAGTGTCATTGGCAAATTTGAGGTCAAAAGAAAGACCTGCAATATGCAGATTTATCTCTTACATTTGCATCTTTAAATTTATGTAATTTTATTCTATAACTCTGCTGTATTCGTTACTCCTCGGTTTTATGGAAAATACGACTAACGAATTGGTAAATAAATGGCGATCGTAACTACAAAAATTGCCTCGGAAGTCGTGATTTCTACTACTATAACTATATCGAGTTCACGACATAAGATAAGATAAGATAAGATAAGATTTTATTGTATCATAACACCCATTTCATGCCGCATACAATTCATATACATGACATATGACATAACAAGATAGACGCCAAAGTTACAAAGTTGAACGTTTTGAACGGTAATTATACTATTTTTGTAATATGTTTCTTGTGGATGTGCATATCGATCTGAATACGTAATTTATAGAATTTTACATTTTGGGAAACATTTTCTGAACAATGACAAGAAACACATTTGTTTAAAAACAGAAAACGAGAAAAATACCCGGCTTTCCATTTTGTACTAACTTGTTATTGTACCGTACGGCAGTTCAGGTTTTAGGACACCCGGTATGGTCTATATCAACAAAAATGTCTCAGTAACTGTGGTTTAACGGCCACTCGACACAAACTAGGCCTTTTCTGTACTAACGTCCTACGTTTCTTTGAATTTAAAATGTCTTCATACCGTAACAATTAATTAGATTTCTCTTTTTTGCGGAAAGACAACTGAACTGTTAAACATGCATGATATTTTATTATCTTTTAAATACGCACGTTTTGTTTTGTATATCCATATATGTATATATCCTGTATGTGGGTTTTATTCTGTCTCGTTATGTGAATTGATACTTTGTACGTTTTGCTTCGTATTTTCATATCATGTATGCTCTGCATGATTTTATGTCCGTCCATATTATTGTTTCCGTTCATATTTCTGTACTTGTATTGAATACTTTGCAGGCCCAGGGGAGCAGGGGGGGGGGGGCTAGGCGTGGAATACTTGCGCAGGGATACACGGTATTTAATGGTCATTGAGTTCTATCTATACTGGATTTATAATCAATATCAAATATTTTACTTGGCCGTTTTGACTATCTATTATGGCCGTTTCGGTCAAATCTTTTGGCCGTTTAGGTATGATTTAGGTTTAATGGCGTTCTGTCTATCAACCACAGACTTTGAGATCGAGTCTACAAACAAAATGTCCAAAACGCGCAAACGTGAGCTGATGGAGAGAAGGGCAAATGGTTAAAAGCAATGTCGAGGTGCACAACATTGTTTAATTAATGGAGGAAAAGGTAATTTCCATTCATATTTCTTTTGATCGAACATGTGTAACATTTTTATTGACACTTAATTATTTACCGTTACATGAAGTGAAGATCAAATTTATTGAAATTACGTAACCATGCGGTTGAGTTATTAAGGAGCTAAATCGCTAATATTTGGGACTTAGAAATCGACAAAAATGGCTCTAAGCGCATATGATAATGAAATATGAATGTATATAAACTGATTTACATTCAATTGTTTCTGTTTTTACTGTAATTTCTAATCATTTATGTTCGGCGAAATACGCCAAAAGTGTCAATTGAATGACAATCTTTAGCGTCTGGTTATTCCAGTCTACACCAATAGTATTTATTGCGCATGCTCACCAGAAAAGAATATAGCGTCACCATCTGACATGACTTGTGGAATATGTCTAGCCTCGTTCTTTGAGACCCTTGTTACAAATGGAGCTGAAACGCATTATGCCTATGGTACACGATTCGTGGGTATCAGGCGTATTCAATACCAGGCTAATTCATTACCGGTAAAATCGGCGTATTCAAGACCAGTATATTATAGGGTTGGTTGATCGGTATATAAAGGTGCTAAGTAGTACTCTGTCTATGGGTGTTAATTGATCAATTAAGACAAGACAATAGAAGGATTAACAAGGTATTTATTATATATTTTAAATAGTCATAATACAAACAAGAGTTGAAATATTTAATATTCGAAGACAATATTTACATATAAAACATCGTATGCGATTAATAATAGCCATAGTTTCGTATTCAACTTTGAACTGAGTATTGTGTTTAACTTGACGTTACTATTAATATTATATATTTTAAATAATCATAATACAAACAAGAGTTGAAATATTTAACATTCGAAGACAATATTTACATATAAAACATCGTATTCAGTTGATGCGATTAATAATAGCCATAGTTTCGTATTCAACTTTGAACTGAGTATTGTGTTGATGTTACTATTAATATTTCTTTATTTATCACATCAAAAATCAATGTTTTCAGCTGATGCGATTAATAATAGTTCGTAAAAAACTGTGAACAGGGTATTGTGTTCATAATTTTTTTCTTTTAGTTTTATACTTGAACGGGGTATTGTGTTCATAAATGTGATACACTATTAATTTTTTTTTCTTTTCTTTTATGGTTGATACAACACAAACAACACTACAATACACTTACAACACAAACAACACTACAATACACTTACGACGATGTTTCCGCAGAGGGACCGTACAGAAACGCACACTCTCTCAATAGCCTACTAGTATCCATTTCACCTGCATTGTAGTTGGTCCATAGAGAGAATATGCGTGTCTGCATAAGTCCAACTCTGCTTCGTTGGCATCTGCTGATTTTTCCTTCGGTGAGCATCACCATATCCATTTTGAGTTTCTTAGCTTCTTTGTGTAGTTCTACAAGCAATAAATAAAATGGAAGTGGTCCCCGAGTGTTCAGTCGAGAGTTGATTTGGTTATGCCACCCCTCGACGTCATTATTCGTGCGAACGGAGCGCATAAAAACGGACCAACTCTTCGCACTAAACACTCGGTTCGATATCCATTGGTTCTCCACGTACTCATCCCCTGTCTGTATTACTGTCGCCCGACAGTAGTCCACTTTCGGATGGTGAACACAGCGCCAATTTGTGTTTCCATTAGCTGATTGTTTCTGAAAAACACAATATATATATTCAAAGTAAATACACTAAATTATGTTTATTACATTCAATTACATTGTTAAACACACAAAACAATATAATATATTCAATTGCGTAAAGTAAATACACTAAATATAAAATAATTACATACCCTAAGCTTAAGATTAAATAATTTGAACAACAACTCAATAAGATTAAATAATTTAAACAACAACTCAATAATAAAAAAAAAACAATTTTAATACATCAAACACCAATCATCAAAATCATCTATAATAATTATCGAATCGGCTTCTATCCACACTGATGAGTACTACTTAGCACCTTTATATACCGATCAACCAACCCTATAATATACTGGTCTTGAATACGCCGATTTTACCGGTAATGAATTAGCCTGGTATTGAATACGCTAGGATTCGATTCGTGTACCAATGGTAAATTGTTTATTTTGTCTCGAATGTTGGATATCAGAAGCCCATCTTTTCCCGGTAAGATCACAAGACCAATGTTGATTTAAACTGACAAATACTTCGTGTTTCCAATGTCAAAGATTTTTGATGATACTGAGTTAGAGACTTAGCTACTTTAAAGTAGTTAAGTCTCTAACTTATGGCAAGCCAAAGCGGAATTAATTGCAAGACCGTTTTTTCTGCATGGAAAGAGAAAAAATCGAGTATATAACCATTTTTTCATCACCTTCCAAGCATTTTTTTCTGTACAAAACGACGTATCAATAAAGATTATTTTTTTTCCACTGCTGCTCTTGTATTTTGTTATATAGTCAAGTCAATTATACTGTTCACAGAAATATTTTTTCACTATAATAGTTGACTATATTCGGTTTTTATAAACAATTCAACAAAATTATTTTTCACATGTCAAGACAAAAAAATACACATGTCAAGACGGAAAAATTCACATGTTGGTTTTTGTGGTCACGTGCTCTTGAAGGGTCACATGCTCTTGAAAGGGTCACGTGCTCGTGATATATAATTTTTTTTTTGTCTTGACATGTGAATTTTTCTGTCTCGACATGTGAATTTTTTATTTGACATATGAATTTTTTTCGTCTTGACATGTGTATTTTTTTTGTCTTGACATGTGAAAAATAATTTTGTTGAATTGTTTATAAAAACCGAATATAGTAAGTGGTAAAATATTTCCATGAACAGTATAAATTGACTTGACTATAACAAAATACAAGAGCAGCAATGGAAAAAAATAATCTTTATTGAATCTTTATATGTCGTTTTGTACAGAAAAAAATGCTTGGAAGGTGATGAAAAAATTGTTATATATACTCGATTTTTTCTCTTTCCATGCAGAAAAACGGTCTTGCAATTAATTCCGCTTTGGCTTGTCATACTAACTCAATACCATCCAAAACCTTTGACAATAAAAACACAAATTATTTGTCAATTAAAATCAACATTGGTGTTTTGATCTTACCTGGAATAGATGGGCTTCTGATATCCAATAATTGAGGCAAAATAAACATTTTACGATTGGTACACGTATCGTGTACCATAATGCGTTCCAGCGCAATTTGTAACGAGCAACTCGGAAGAACGAGGTTAGACATATTCCACAAGTCATGTCAAACGGTGACCCCATATCTGGAGAGCATCGCAATAAATACTATCAGTGTAGACAGGAATATACAGACGCTACAGATTACCATTCGATTGAGACTTCTGGCGTATTTCGCCGAACATAACTGCTTCGAAATTAGAGTAAAAACGGAAACGATTGAATGTAAATCAGTTTATTTACATTCATATTACATTATTATATACGTTTGTGTCAATTTGTAGGTCCCAAATATTAGCGATTTAGCTCCTTTAAAGTAGCTAAGTAAGTCCCTAACACAATATCATCCAAAGTCTTACACGTTGAAAACACACATTATTTTTTCAATTCAAATCAACATTGATGTTGTTATCATACCGGGAAAAGGTAGGCTTCTGATGTCCAATATTCAAGACAAAATAAACATTTTACCATTGGTACACGAATCGTGTACCATAGTGCCTTCCATCGTAATTTGTAACAAGCGACCAGAAAGACCGAGGCTAGACGTATTCCACAACTCATGTCATACGGCGACGCCATAACTTATCTGGAGAGCATGCGCAATAGACTTGAATAACCAGATGCTAGAAATTTCTATTCCGTTGAGACTCATGCCTTATTTCGCTGGACCTAACTGATTTGAAATTCAAGTCAAAATGGAAACAATTAAATGTAAATCGGTTCATATACAATCAGATGGTTGCGACCCATTTGTGGCAATTTCTAGGTCCCAAATATTAGCGATTTAGCTCCTTTAATGCGTTAAAACTGTTAATTAAAGTCAAAGTGGCCGGCCTAGTACGTTTCTTCCACTACTAAGTACTTTAACCCTAACCCTAAGTAGCCGGATCAACTTACTGCGCCAAGTGGCCTACGGTAGCTAAGTCTCTAACTCAATACCGTACCAGTATCATCCAGAGTCTTCGACTAGCATATGTTATGTACCAACCAAATTTTATTTTTTGAGCAATTGCTTTGAAACCTGGCAGAAATAATTGCCCAAACATTAGAATTTCAACTTTTAACTTTGATTCTATCTGATAGAGAGTGATGAAACTAAGTGTATAGTTGATAATCAGTTTGATTGCTTGATACTTTTGAAAAAAATAAAAATAATTAATATATATGTGTCATCTATTTATTTTGGGATTTCGGCGGGGGAAATCAGCTTCACTGTTGGCTTGTTTTTTCAGTTTTGGGTTTACACAACAGAATGTTACCCATAGGAAGATCCCTTATCCGAATATGGTCTCTGAACTTTAATCGACAGTTTTCTCCTCTTGTTGATTGTCCAGTTAAATGTCAAAGATTGTCCACCACACTTGCTCTTACAGCTGACCAGATTAACCAGTATGGGAAAAGGAGAGATAAACCAGCAAATGAAAACCATGTCCAAAGAGATGTAAGTTAAAGTATCAAGTACAGGTAGTCCTTTTTGATGGTACCGGTACACGAACCTGCAAGAGGTGTCCATTGGATCTGAGTGATACAATCGCTTTGAATGAATGGGTTATGCTTGAATAAATACTTTAACATACCGGTACCTTATTCGACAATGCTCAAAAAAAGTATTTATGATAATAAGCAAGTTAGCAACCCTGCCCTCACAACATGCACATAATTTCATTGTAGAATCGCTCTAAGCCTAAAACATTGGCTATAAAAGTAAGCATTTAACATTTAAGTTCATCTGGTGGTAATTATGATGAATAGGGTAGTTTTAATCAAATTCATAGGAACAATATATATTTGACATTGACCACAAAATGCTCAGAAAGAAAAGCAAGAAAGATTATCTTTTTTGCCAGACTTGTCCTTATAAATATAACACATCATGGATAAGGGCTGAGTCATCTGATCCAACACAATATTATTGTATGATAAGACATTATCTACATATTATTGATGGTCAGATATGACTACTATCGGTTTTATTGATATCAGTTATTGACAGCAAAATACACAGGGGCGAATCCAAATAGGGGCCTGCCATCCCCCATCCCCACGACATGAAAATCTTATATTATGTCTAAATAGCCTCAAGGACGGCAACTAAAATAAAGGTACCCAGTGATTTGTTTTCAACTCAACGATATACTGCTATATGGCTGAGTATAGATCAATACCGATTTCTACCGATAGGCCACTTTTTGACCAATACCGATGTTGAAACCGTTTATCGAACCATCACTACTACATATATGCATGATGTATGGATTTGATCCTGGGTTTGTGAAGAAGTAAGCTCCATGCTGTTGAATTTCATGGCTTTTCTCTGGGTAATCCAATTTCTTCTCACTTCTAAAGATTCCTGCACCGAGCATATTATTGAAATAAAAATGTCTTCAAGCAACCATTGATCCCCATTTATCTCCATTTTTATACGCCCACATTGAAATGTGGTCGAATATTGTTGTCGCCATCGTCCGTCCGTCGTACGCAATTGCTTGTGGACGCTCTAGAGGTCAAAGTTAATATCCGATTGACTTTAAATCTATACACAGTGTTTAAGGTCATGAGACGAAGAATCCTATTGATTTTCAGCGATTTCCGATAATTTTTGCCAGAGTTATGGCTCTCGATCACTTTGAAAAACCTTGTGGACGCTCTAGAGGTCAAAGTTAATATCCGATTGACTTTAAATTTATACACAGTGTTTAAGGTCATGAGACAAAGAAGCCTATGGATTTTCAACGATTTTCGATAATTACTGCCAGAGTTATGGCCCTTGATCACTTCAAAAAATCTTGTGGACGCTCTAGAGGTCAAAGTTAATATCCGATTGACTTTAAATTTATACACAGTGTTTAAGGTCATGAGACGAAGAATCCTATTGATTTTTAGCGATTTATGATAATTTTTGCCAGAGTTATCACCCTTGATCACTTTGAAAAACCTAGTGGACGCTCTAGAGGTCAAAGTTAATATCCGATTGACTTTAAAGTTATACACAGTGTTTAAGGTCATGAGACGAAGACGCATATTGATTGTCAGCGATTTCCAATAATTTTTGCCAGAGTTATGGCCCTTGATCACTTTGAAAAATCTTGTGGACACTCTAGAGGCTTAAGTTAATATCCGATTGACTTTAAATTTATACACAGTGTTTAAGGTCATGAGACGAGGAAGCCTATTGATTTTCAGCGATTTCTGATAATTACTGCCAGAGTTATGGCCCTTGATCACTTTGAAAAATCTTGTGGACGCTCTAGAGGCTAAAGTTAATATCCGATTGACTTTAAATTGATACACAGTGTTTAAGGTCTTGAGACGAACAAGTATATTGATTTTCAATGAATCTTTATGACTTGAACAGATAAATCCGTGATGTTAAAAGTTTCGTATACTAAACGTATGGGGCAGAACTTTATAAAAACCAAACAAATTCTAATGGTTTTCTGATAATTACTCAATGAGATGTTACTCTTAATCAGATTTTAATGTATTATAAATGTTTCATTACCGAAAAAAGTAAAAATATGCGACAACTCTTGTTGACTGCCCGGACGATATACATGTAGCTGCTGTGGGCGTATGTTTAGTTGCCTGGAACCTATCTTTTTAAATCAATTTAAATTTCTGTCTTTCAGGTTATAGAGCACCTTAATGAGTTAATCAATGGACGGATTATCACCGTGGCAAGTAACGAGGAATTACAAAGTCGTGTCACGTTATTACAGAGTCTTGGACTTTCCATCAATGATATTGTGGAAAATGCTTTCTTAGTTAAATTGCCAGAGTGTGACATTTTAAAACATGCACAGAAAATACGGGGCAATAATTTCAGTAAACAGCAATTTTCAGAACTTTTTAACGAGGGTGGTTCCAGCATTCCAGTAAAGTATAAGCCAGTCTGTGAAGTTTTAGTTGATGAACTAAATATATCTAATAAAGATGTGACTGACTTGTGGAGCAAATATTCATTTCTTAAAAAAATTAATTCACAGGATCTTCGACAAAAAATAGGCTACTTGAAAGAAAAAGGTTTAACCCCTGAAGATATTTTCAAATATTCCTCGGCTTTAAAATTCTCCCTTGATAATTTACAGGATAAGATTCATAAGATAGATTCTTTCAAAGAGGCTGGATATATTGAAAAAGATTTTAATTTCGCTCCTTGGTTGTGTCAGGTATCCAGGAAGGAAAGCATTCAAAAGAAAACTCATTGGAGTGTTCTGCCTGAACGTGCTGATATCTTGAGTGAAGCTTTACAAGTGACCAAGAAGGACTTGCAGTCAGTCACATACTTCAATCGGGTTTCTTTGGATCTCATTCTGAAGAAATATGAATTGTTGAAAAGTTATGGAATCAGTGGAATGGATGTGATAAATCGTCCGAACATTATGTTAGTTTCTTATGATAAAATAAAAGAAGCTGTGGAACATGCAGCAGAGTTTGGTATTGAAAATCAAACCATTGCCGAAATTTATATCCGTTGTAACTTTAAAAAAATTCCTAAACAATCTTGTGGTGCTCGTCAATATGCCTACTTAGCTGATAAACTTGGGATGCCTTGTGAGAAACTCAGACGTTCCTTGGATTCAAAGTGGATGTCAGAAAGGCTTAATATGAAAAATAATGTTGAATTTCTTCAAGCACAGGGGTTCTCTTTGAGAGACCTGCAAGCTTTTCCCATAGTCTTAGGACACGAGCACGAGTATTTGAAAAATTTTGCATCCTCTCTTCCTCATCGACCCGAATTACATCCTTTTGAAAAATATGCAGAAGATAAAATATTACTGCTGAATTCTTTACAATACTATATAGAACAGTCTGTGGGTTTCACTGGCAGAGCAATAATAGCTGATAGTAATGATGCAGAAGATGCAACCTTAGAAGATAGATTCGACAGCAATATTAAAGAATACTTAGATGACATTTATGAAGAAGATGACGATGAAGATTACGGGAATTACGGCCATCTGGAAAACTCGGCATTAGCGTTTTAGTGTTGTGTATTGCATTGGTTTTGAATGAGGTTTCTTTCGTAATAAGTGACATTAACCATTTCAGTACAATTAAACCAGATAATACAACACCAAGTAGACGTATTTAAAAACAAAATTAACATTATTATTCAGCACAGTACCAAAATAGGGAGGGGTATGGGTAAATTAGTCAAGCCTCTTCAACACCTCTAAACTGCCTTTCCACTGCGCTCGGGACGAGGGAGGAATTACAGTGAGCTAACCCCGAGTTCTCTTCACCCTAGTAAGATAGACGAATATCCGTTTGAATGACCTTTATTCCAATGAAAACTCTCTGTGAAAGCTAGCTGAGTGACGAGTATGACTGTCAAACAAACCAACGTACATGTTCAAGGGTAAAAAGACTGTAAATTGCACAGGATAAACAAAATAAGTTTCCGCTGAAGTAGCGGCCATGCTTGCCGAGGTTAAACAAAGGGAGATAATTCTAATGTTATGATTTACTTAATACCACAACAAAATAGTTCCAGCACACTCCCCGTCTGATATCCTGTACTGGATATCACTTAAATGAATAAAATTAAAACACTTTATGAAATAAAACACTTAAAAATAAAATGTCCAATCTTTGGGAAGAGTCACTTTAAATTATCAAAATGTTAATTGTTCGTTTCCGAATCAAGTAATACCAATTCAGTAACTGGTCTGGTATAAACAGTTGGTTCACCATCTTTTATGATCCGTAGAGTAACTTTCCTGACGTTGTTGTCATCTCCAGGGAAAATCTGTTCCACCATACCAATAGGCCAATCATTGCGATGAAGTTGGTTATCTTTAAGTAGAACAACGTCTCCTGGTTTGAGGTTTGGTTGTGTACTAGGTTGTAGAGTGTGAAGGAATTCACGTCTCCATCTGTTCCAGAATGTATCAGCCATAGATTGAACAGCTCTCCATTGTGATTTATATAAGTCCTTTATATTAAATTGTCCTAAAGGTTGTGTGATGTGATCAACCTTTTGAGTGAGGAGAGTTTGTGGTGAGAGAATGGCTGGTGACTGTGTGTCTGTTGAAACCGGAACTATAGGTCGAGCGTTGACTATAGCTGTAACTTCTGCCATGAAAGTTACCAATACTTCATGTGTGAGATATTTTGAAGATACCTCAGCTAACATAGAGTCTAGGATGCGTCTGGTTATACCGATCATACGTTCCCAAACGCCTCCCATGTGTGATGAATGAGGTGGATTAAAGATCCATTTAGCCTTCCTATTATTCAAAAAGTTAATAACAGGACCGTTTTCGTCCATAATGACTTCCATGTTGAGTTCATTAGTTGTACCAATAAAGTTGGTTCCTCTGTCGGATCTGAACTCGGATACGTTGCCTCGAATTGCGATGAATCTTCTGAGAGCGTTAATAAATCCTGAAGTCCCCATGTCTTCAATGACTTCCAGATGAATAGCTCTCGTGGTAAGACAGGTGAAGATGATCGCCCATCGTTTACTGTTTGCCTGGTGACCCCTAGTACGCCTTGAGACAACTGACCAAGGACCAAACGTGTCAACACCAACGTACGTGAAGGGTGGTGCTGGCTTTAGGCGGTTTCCAGGTAGATCTGACATCTTCTGGAACTCTTGTTTTCCTCGTAGTTTTCGACATTTAACACACTTGAAGATGATAGAGGAGATAAGACGTTTACCTCCAACTATCCAAAAACCTGCCGCTCTAACTGCTCCTTCGGTGAAATGTCTGCCTTGGTGTTGTACCAGTTCGTGATGATGCCTGATGATTAGAGTTGATATGTGAGCAGATGCCGGTAAAATAATTGGTGATTTCTCTTGAAAGGGTAACTCTGCTTTTGACAGCCTTCCACCAACGCGCAGCAAGCCATATTCGTCGATGACTGGATCTAGTGTGATTATGGTGCTGTCCTTTGGTAACGGTTTGTCAGCTTTTATTTTGATCAGTTCTTTTCCATAAGTTTCGAGTTGAACTTGTTTGATTATGAACCGTTCCGAATTAAGCTGGGCTTCAGTATTTTTTGATTCATTACAAACATGCCATCCTTTACAGTTTCCTGAACTGTGGTACATTTGAGCAATGTGAATTAATCTACTGATTGTCCAAGTAAGTGTTTTCCATGATGAGAATCGCTCAAACCGATGAATACCCAGCTTGCCTTTGTTGATAGTAGTGAGTAACGTTGTTACAATTGGTCGTACCTCAGAATCCTCTTCTGGATTCCGTAGTTCGTAGAAGTCATCTTCTTCGAATTGCTGTTTCTGGTAAAGGTGAGTAGGACCTTTAAGCCATACCGAATGTTCCAGATCAGATGCCGGAACGGACCTGGTTCCGAGATCTGCAGGATTTTTATCCGTAGGGATAAACTGCCATTGTAGAGGAATGGTTGACTTCCTAATGCGGTCTATTCTATTAGTGACATAGAGATAGAACCTACGTGTTCTGTTGTAGATATATCCTAACACAACCTTGCTGTCGGTGTGAAACGTGATGACATCCGGAGTAATATCAAGATGTTCTTGGATAATGTCGTGGATTTCGACTGCTAAGACAGCAGCACAGAGTTCGAGCCTGGGGATAGTATGACCAGAAGTTGGTGCTAGCTTCGCCTTTCCAAGGATGAAGCCAACATGATGATTTCCGTCAGTGTATGTAGTTCTCATGTAAGCTACTGCTGCTACGGCCTTTTCGGAAGCATCTGAATAGATATGCAGTTCCTTACGAGCAATGCCATAAGAAGTATCAGAATACATTCTAGGTATACGTAGATTATCAAGATGCTGTAATGAACATCTCCATTTATCCCATTCCGTGAGTTGTTTGGTAGGCAGAGGTTCATCCCAGTCTGTAGTTGACGACATAAGATTCCGCAATAGAATTTTGCCTTGGATGACGACTGGAGCGACAAATCCAAACGGGTCAAACAGACTGTTTATGGTAGACAATATACCTCTCCGTGTAAAAGGTTTGATTTCCTGTGATACTTGAAAGGTGAATGTGTCAGACGTTAAGTTCCAAGCTAAGCCTAAACTCCTTTGAATAGGTAGCGAGTCCGTAGAGAAATTGAGTTCTTTCAAGTCCTTTGCCAGGTCTTCGGTAGCGAATGCTTCCATGACTTCTGGGCTGTTCGAAGCTATCTTATGAAGATGAAGATTGCCTCCAACGAGAAGGGCTTTTTGAGTTCTTTTCATAAGATCAATGGCCTGTTCTGATGTGGGAAGTGAGGCCAAACCATCATCGACGTAGAAGTTCCTATCTACGAAGTTTTTGACGTCGATGCCAAATGTTTCCTGTCCTATGAGTGCAGACCGTCTCAGTCCATACGTAGCCACTGCTGGAGAAGGACTGTTTCCGAAGACGTGTACTCTCATCCTGTATTCGATAATTTCATTTTCGAATATGTTATCTTTGTACCAAAGAAATCTCAGGAAGTTTCTGTGGTTTTCCTGTACCAAAAAGCAATGAAACATCTGCTGGATGTCCGCTGTGATGCCGACTTCATGTTTGCGAAAGCGTAGAAGTACCCCAAGTAAGCTGTTGGTGAGGTCAGGACCTGTCAACATTACATTGTTAAGGGAGATATTTTCATGCTGAGCTGAAGAATCGAACACTGCTCGGATTTGGTCTTTCTTCTTAGGATGGTAGACTCCAAAAATGGGTAAGTACCAACACTTATCATCGTCTCTAAGAGGAGGTGCCAATTCCGCATGATTGTTATCGAATACCCTTTTCATAAATGTGAAGAAGTGGGCTCTTTTAGTTGAGTCCTTTCTTAAACTATAATCTAACGACTTTGCTCTGTTGGCTGCCTGAGTTCGATTATTTGGTAGACGGGGTCTATTTTCCTTAAAGGGTAACGGAGCAACCCAATTACCACTTGAATCACGCTGGAATTCTCGATCCATGATAACGAGAAATTCGCGATCTTCTACCGATGGTCCTAGTTTTTCGTCGTTGCGGGAGAGTCTAAATACGGCTTCCCCAATTCCATCGTTGAATGAATCCTGTGATGTGAAGACATCGTACCTTGTTGGATGTAGATCCTTTAATTCCAAATTATTCGGACAGGGCTCGAATAATGTATTTCGACCGTTTGGTAAAGTGTGAGTTTTGTTCACATTGATTACTTCCGGTTTATGTATGTTGCCTAGGCAAGCCTCTCCAATAATTACCCATCCTAATGGGAGTTGTTGAGCGTAAGGTGAATTACGCGGTCCTATCCGTTGATCTAAGACGTGATGAGCCTCAATCAAATCTCTGCCAATTAACAGCTGTATATTAACCAAATCATCCACTGGTGGTATGAATTCAGCTATGTCCTGTAGGTGAGAGTGATGAAGAGCTACTTCCGGAGAAGGTATTTCATCTCTAATTGCCGGTATGTGGTCGCACTCAATTAACTGCGGAAGTTCAAATTTCGCGCTTCCATCCAAAGATTCAATAGTTATTCCTGTTGCCTTTCTGCCAGACGTAGGAAACGTGCCTGCACACGATGATAGTGTGTAAGAGAATGGTTCTGCCTGAACTTCGAGTGAGTCGAAGATGCCTTTGTTTCCGAGTGACCTATTACTTTGATCATCGAAGATGCCATAAACTTGAACTGTCTTAACTGGATTTTCAGTTTGGTAGACTTTTAGTTGAATTATTTTCGCACAAGACTTGCCTCTAAACTTATCGCTGCATACTTGTGTACACTTTGATGTAAGTTGTTTTGGTTCCGTACGCTCCCCGCCGTGGTTGACTGGAGCTGAAGAGGTTCCACTGGTAACTGAATCCGAATTCACGTGCATAGCAGAAGCATGTTGGTTGCTATTGCAAATATCGCATTTGATATTTTCTGTACAAGCTGCAATTAAATGTTCTTTTGTTGCGCAACACCTATAGCAAAACCCAATAGTCTTTAAATATGCCTTCCGTTCACTGATGGGTTTATATCTAAAGGCATTACACTCGTTAATCGAGTGATTAGTATGATGGATTGGACATTTTGATCTATTATCCGTGACCTCAGATTGCTGTTTAACTTCTGTTTTCCGTGTGGAAATATTCGTCCTTAAAGCTGGAGCTGATACCTTTGAAGGGAGCCTATCCCGTTGATTATTTGGTTGATTGTAAGTGCGGTCGTAGGCAAAACTTGGATCATTCTTGGTCTTGCTTACATCTCGTATAAATTCCGCAAAGAAGGA